TTTATGGGCGGAATCCCCCTTCACACACTCACATAAAGGCCCTGCACACAGCCGGGGCTCCTGGGAACATGCTGAATGGAGATCAGCCTGCAGCCTGCGGTTTAGGCATGGAGTCAGGACGAGGTGGCCTGCCTCACCCGCGAAGCGCTTTCTGGGAGGAGATCTGAAGACACATGGGCCTGAAACCCTCCTGAGATGCAGGGGGCAGAACGGTGTGTGTACCACCTGAGTGTGTGAGAGGGCAAGGAAGACCGGGGACGGGGGGAGGGTGGTTTCATCCTTCCCACTGGAGGACAGGGAACAGGCTGGCACGGGGGTGGAAGACTAGCCAGGTCGGGAGCTCCCCTTTCCCTTCTTCTTCTTTTAAAGCTCTGATAGAATATGTTATATATATTCTATACATAATATATGTCATACTAAACGTGCTGTTTGAACTATTTTAAAGTGTGCAACTCAGTGGCATTAAGTATGTTCACGATGTTGTACGACCATCACCATTATCTAGTTCTAGAGCTTTTCTTCACCCCAAAAAGAAATGCACTCACTAAGCAATGGCTCCCCACTTCCCCCAGCCCTGGGCTTTCTGTCTTCGTATTTGCCTATTCTGTACATTTCAGATCAATGGAGTCATGTAATGTGTGGTCCTTTGTGTCTGGCTTCTTTCACTTACTATAATGTTCTCAAAGTTCACCCATGTTATAGCATGGATCAGAACTTCATTTTTGTGGCTGAATAACATTGTGGGTATATACCACATTCTTTTTATCCATTCATCTGTTAATGGTCATCTAAACTGTTTCTACCTTTTTTTTTAAAGATTTCTTTCTTTCTTTTCGAGAGATGGGGAAGGGAGGGAGAAAGAGAGGGAGCAAAACATCAATGTGTGGTTGTCTCTAGCACGCCCTATACTGGGGACTTGGCCTGCCACTCAGGCATGTGCCCTGACTGGGAATCAAACCAGCGATGGTTTGGTTTGCAGGCCTGCACTCAGTCCACTGAGCTACGCCAGCCAGGGCTTCTACCTTTTTTTTTTTTTTTAATAGTTGTAGGACTTCCATTCAGCTCAAAGTTTCTGCCTTTTGACTAATGTCAATAGTGCTGCTATGAATATTTGAATACAAATTTGCTGGGGTATATGGTGGTATTTAACTTACTGAGGAACCACACCCCCTTCCTTTTATAGATGTTCACAGACTCTCAGGACTTGAAGGGACCTCAAGAGTGACTTTGAACAGTGTTTCTCAGACTTTAGGATTTCACACATCAGTAAACTAAAACTGCCTTCATCACCCGCCCTAAAAGTAGTAGTAGCGACTTCTGCCAAGATCAAGGTCAACCCTGTAAAATGAGTATGTTTAGTGTCAGGTAAACGCACTGCCTTGTACTTGTTTTTTCGTATCACCTCTACCTTTGGGTCATTTGGGAAGCACTTGCCTGGTCCAGTCCTTATCTGAAGTCTGACTTCCCCTCTCCAGCTGCCCCGGGCTTGACCAGCCTCTGGGTTGCTCCCCTTTCCAGGTAACCCTGGTTCCCAGGGTCTCCCCAGTATTCCTGCTGCACCCTCTGGGGCTCCACAGGCCTCGGCCTCATTCCCCCTTCTTCAGAGCTATGACCCACCCACCCTTGTTCCCCAAATGTTCTACAAGGATGAGCGCACCAAAGTGAAATCCTGATGCCAGGGGAGGAGGTAGACGTGAGGCATTCCTCCAATTTGTAAAGATTTTTAGAAGAAATCTCTCAGCTATTTATAGTATGAGTGCCTCTCCCCATCAAAAACAAAAAACTGTGAACAAGCTATACAGACTAACAAGGCATTGTTTTTTGTTGTTGTTATTGGCTGAGCTTACACCAGTTCAACATTTCCTTGCATGTCGGGTAGGAGCAAGACAGCGTGGAGATGTGGACTCTTCAAACCTGCATTCAAACTGACTGTCCCTTGTTAATAAGGTGACCTTGGTGAGGTTCATTGATATCTGGGTACCGCCATCACCAAATTGGTAGAAAGGGGACTTTAAAACTTCAAAGGGTTATTATGAAGGAGGCAAGGCCACTTCTAGAAGCACCCGGCATACCACAGGTGCTTGCTCCAGAACAATGATCACGGGAAGGAATCCGAGGAGGGTTTTATACCTTCAACGGGCAAAATCGAAGTGAGAAGATTCACCATTATTTAATATACACTGGGCAAACAGAAACTACTTCAAGGAATCAATTCCCTGTTTGGAAATCACAATAAAATAGTATGAAAGTGTGGTGGTAAGGAACATGGAACCCACCCTGCAGAGCTGAAACGAAATGGCTTCCTGGTCTCTTACCAAAGGATACTGCGGCCCTGCTGGCTTACCTTAGGGTGAGGCCAAACCCTCCCCTAGGCACCTGAAGGGTGCAGGCGAGGTCTCCCTGGAGAAGACAGCGGTGCCCTGTGTCTGTGAGCCCTGAGGAGGTGGCTCTGACGGGAACTGGGAACCTGGGAGGGATCTTCCACTGATGGGGGCTGGTTCGCCCCACCAGGCAAGACCCTGAGGAGGGAGCCCTGGGTGGCGGGGAGATGGGGTCTCCGCTTTGGAAGGAAGTCGAAGACAAGTCCACGGGGCTTTCTGCTCTCTCCCACTACTGGTGACTGTGTTTATTTCCCCTCTGTCATCCTCAGGCTTTGGTGACTCACTGCCTACAAAGACTGGCTTCTTAGCTGAGCAGATGAAATATAAGGCAGGGTCTAATCCCCTATTAGGCCGAGTATTAGAGGAGAGGAGCCCCCTCAGGCCATCAGGGAGCCTGGCAAGCCCTCCAGGACTATTCAAGGAGAACCCCACCCCAGGGGCCGGGACTCGCAGTCCACCCCCTGGGGAGCAGATTCACCATCGCTGGCTAGTCCTGAAGAATCCGGTACTGACTTTATCAGGAACAGCATCGGCATTCGCGTGTTTTACAGGACCTGTTTGTTAACACGCGGTTACTTGCTTGAAATGGACAAGGACAGATGGGCATGGATGGTGCTGCACACCTTCAGTCTGCATTGCCGAATCATCCCAGAACAGGACCTCAGTCTGCAGGAGGTACCTTCTTGGCAACCGAGGTCAGTGTGGATGTCGCAGTTGTCCAGCCTTGGCCAGGCCTGCATGGCAGTGTCTCGGGCAGCTCTAAGGCGAGGGCAAACTGGAAGGCTTTGCTGCGTCCTCTGTACCTGCTGCACCAGCTCCTGCAACTGGCTGGAAAGCCTTCCTGCTTCTTCCTATCCACTTTGCTGGGAGTGCCAGTGACACAGACACCCAGTCAGGCACAGCTGGAGGGCAGGGATCCACCGCCAGTCCTGGCATTCTCAGGGCCCCGATGCCAGCAAAGCCATCTAAGCTGCCGCTCCCTCTGGCTGGAGGCTGCTGCTTCTGGCCTCACCCACACCAGCCATGGCTATATTCGAGCAGGTGAGAGAGGGGATTCCTTAATAGGCAACCTCTGTAGAGATTTCTCATATCTGCACAATTCCACACAGTGTGAAAAGCGCTTTCTCACCTTTACCTGATCCTTGGCACCTTGGGGAGGGGGGTGCTATCCCCAAGATAAACCAAGGCTCCACGAGTGAAAGAAACATTCCTGCTCTTACCCCATAAAGAGTGGCTGAGCCAAACCCCCTGTGCTAGGGCTGACTCTAGAATCAGTACGCTTTCCAGGGTTACATGGGGCTTTTATGAATTTCAAAGGAAAGAATCAGAAATTGGAAAAACAGGTATCTAACTTACCCTGACGATACTTAGCCCACAAATACGATCTGCCGCCTGCCTTCAAACACACCGTCCCCCAGCTGGTGGGGCCTTGTCGCTTCCCTACCTGCCTGCTCTAGTCTCTCTCTCTGACTGGCTCCAGCTCTGTCCTCTTCTGTCCAGGCTGCCACTGACAGCAGCATCCAAGCTGCGGACCTAGCACACACCCTTATGACAAGACTCTTCACATGGCACTGCAATGCGTCACTGATGTGCCTGTCTCCTCTGAGTTGCTCTGGGTTCCCTGAGGGCAGCGATGAAATTTTTCAAGTACCTGGACTCCAAGTACCAGCATGGGACAGGCATAGGGTAGATGCTCAGTAAACGTTCACTGAATGAAAAAGTAAACATGTTCCTTGCACAACTAGCCAGCTTCCACGTAATGGGCCGCCATGAAACCAAAGAGGTGGGAGCCTTGCCCTGGCCATTGGGAGGCAGGGCTTGAACACCCAGCACACAGCAGGCAGGACACTGCCCAGCCGCTGGGAAACGGTGCCTTCTCCCCTGCAGGATGGAGAGCCCTCTGAGCAAGGGCCCAGCCATCTCCAAGTCGGGGGCCCCTTAACCTTAATGTCTCACTGCCAAGTAGGCCACCTCTGCAGACAGCTGCTGGGGAGAGAGGGGGCCATTACCAAAGACAATGAGGCCCTTGAATACACCCTCGGCCCACTCCTAGGAGCTGGGGAGCTTCATGGCTGCCACTGTCCTAGTCAAAGCAGGGTCTCCATGCCTGTGCCCAAGGCATCCGTCTTGCAAGGGCACCATGAAGGCGCATGCTGTGATCAGATGTGTGGGAAACGGCACAAGCTACCTGGCCCCTTCATGAGGCCCAACAAACACTTCTGTACTCAAGGTTCTGAAATGTCCTATACAGCAGGTTGTATAATTGAGCTGTGACCCAGTGTCTGCCAAACTTATCTGATCAGAGCCTCACCCCATTTTCACATATATACCCTTCTTTAAAAATGAAAAACCTATTAACATCCTACAAAACTAGTCACAAGGTTAGACAGCTGTGACATCAACGCTGATCTGTGTTCCCGAGAAGGTACCTCCTGGAGGCTGGGGGCCCATCCCGGGAAGATTCCACAGCCCAGGCTGAACACACCTGGGGCAAAGCGGTGAAGGCCATCCATCCGTCAAGGGAAACACTGGGTGAGGGGGGGAACCGCTTCTCAGGGGAAGGAATCCGTGGGGTGGGAAGGGTCGTCAGAAAAGTGGTTGTGGCCCAGAGTGGGTGCCAGGGATCTCTTACCAACCAGCACACAGACTTCCTGGGAGAAAAAGCCTTAGAACCACTTGAGTCCAGGTAAAAATACAAGGGAAGCATCCGTTCTGGGCCTTAGTTTTCCCATCTGCAAAGTGGGAATAATCAGCCCTTCTCTGGGGTCATTGGGTGAGATAGTGGAGGTGTGCATTTGTGGAAGGCAGATTCCCAGCGTAGCTCTTGCATATTGTGGGTGTTTGATCAAACTTACCTGAGTAGAAGCTACACTAATAATGGGCTTATGAAAAGAACAAACAGTGAAAATCTGGTACAGAACCTCAAGGCACATAACTCAGAGGCCATGTATTTCACGGGCAAACAGCTCGAGGCCTGTCCATAAACCCTGAAGATATGAGCACGTTAAGTCAGCAAGAATCCCCGGTACTTCTAGCTCCAGAAGCCTGTGTGAATCCTCGGAAGATGCACAGCTCGGCAGCCCTCTAGTCCAGTTCTAAGCCGGTCTGCTCCAGCCAGTGTGTAATTGGCTTGCAGCTTCACCCCTCCAGGCCCACTTCCCCAAAGTGCAGGACGGGGTTAAACCATGCCCGCCCTCAGAGCAGCAGTGAGGACGGATGAGGCTGAGGTCAAGCTGCTGCACACACTAGTAGGTGCCCAATGGCGGTGTCTCCTTAGAGAAGGCTGGGACGTGAGGAACAATTATAAAGATGTCTGTCAGTGGTGGCTAAAAATGAAACCTTTGCTCTCCAGTCATGTGGAAAGTTGGCTTCAGCAGGTGGGAGGATGAAGGAGCGACACCCACTGAACCGACAGGCAGAGGGAGAACACGGTCGGGCTCTGGACGAAGCAGTAGTGACTGCCTCTAGCAGCCAGCAGAGCAGAAATGGGTGTTCATATCTGGGGGTGGGAGAGACGAGAGACTCCCCCCACCCCCACCCCCAGGGAGCCAGCATGCGGCCTGCAGAGCTCACAGTAAAAATCAGAATTCTGTGAAGGCTGCCATCTGTTGGGTATATTCTGCAGACCACGTACGTAAGCACTCCGGCTCTGAGCTCCAATTAAGAGGTGAAGTAACCCACCCCTGGCTACCCAGCTGGCCACCCGCAGGGCTGGATCTGAACTCTGAGCCTTAGTCCAGGGCACAGGCTCTTCCCACTCCCCCGTGCTGCCTCGTATGGTCGGGTTCAGATCATCCCTTCACCTTGCCTCCTGAGGTCCTCAGGGGTGGGGACTGGCTGTGGCTCATCTCTGTCCTCCCAGCACCCAGCAAGACAGCAGTGCAGCGAGTGTTGGCCGAGCGAATCACTCACTTGAAAACGCCCCAGAAAGCTCTGGGTTTAAAAGTCAGAGACCTTCTCATGTAATAGAACATGGCAGAAAACTACATGAACCGATGCCCTTCTGAGGAACAGAGCATTAACAGAGTCTAGAAAAAAAAATTCCCAATCCTCTGCTGCTCTGCCTAGAAAACGTGAGCACCGAAGTCCTTCCGCAATGTGATATACTGGGGTCTTTTGCTCCCACTTGAAGTGCAGAAAGCCCTAGCGCGATCTGGGAGGAGCGGCGTGGAGTGTGAGTGTCACCTTGTCCGACCACGGGCCAGGAAACTGACAGCCAGAAAGAAGGGATCCTGCAAGATCAGACAGGGAGCCTCCTCCCCCTTTTCCCACATAGAAGGCTGCCTCTGCAGTGAAGAAAAAGTGCACCCGACACACACGTCCTGTTGCGTGTTGTGTGCAGTAGGCACGTGACGGGCCAAGGCAGAGGGGTACACAAAGCAGTGATCCCAGTGGCCAGACAGGTTAGTTACATGTCAGGGAATCATGAAAAGGCTTTGTTTGACAGGTGACTCAGGCTGCGAGGGACAAGTTAGAAGTTTTAAGGGAGGACGTGCAGAAAATATGTACTTCCCCACCAAAGGACAGAGTCGTTGCTGAGAGGCCACCACCTGAACAAAGACTACATCTTCCAGTGTCCTTTGTACCAGGGGTGGCCACATGACTGCCGGTGAATGCGAGCAGGAGGAGCCGTGGGCTGTGAGCATTCAGGAGCAAGGCAGTAAGAAGTGGCTGTGCCTTCTTCACTATCCTCGTCCCCTTCTGCCAGCCAGAAGCAAAGACTCTGAAGCCCCTGGGAATGGCGGAGCCACAGATGAAAGGAGCTGGGCCCCTGAATCACTGGATGAAACCACATGCTAAGCAAGAAGCAGCCGTACCGGACTTTATGTGAGATGAAGTGTCTAGGGTGTTGGAGTTTGTTACAGCCACGAGCATCACCACCACTACAGCGGAGAAGGGGAGACAGGTGTTCCAGGCAGAGGGAACAACATGACTGAGGCGCAGCGGCGTGACAGAGCACGGTGTGTCTCGGGGAACGGCGAAGAGCTGAGGGCGGCTGGCGCACTGGCTGCGCGGAAGCAGCACCGAGATTCAGAAAGCTCACGCTGGTGACCACAGGAAGGAGGATCATGTACAGGGATTATTTCCAGGGGCCCTGGTGTTGCTGGCACTGCTCTCAAAGGAGGAATGGAAGTTGTGAATGGTTTCCTGTAAAATTTGTCTCTCCCGTCCCTGTGGAGGAAATTGAAAACAGACACAGAAAGCCTTGTTAAATCTTTTAACCATTAATTCAATTGACACAGTGTTGTCAATGCTCAACTCACACTTGAAAAACCCATGGGCGTCTTGGGGGAAATGAATTACCTAATTGACAGAGTACCACGTTTAATAAAAACACTCTGAGTCAGCTTCTTCCCCAGCACCCACAATCACAGCATGCCAGAGACAAGAGGGCCCAAGAAACAGGCATCCAATGCCTGTGACGAGGGTGGACAGCGGAGCCCAGGAAGCAGGACTGACCGGCCCCGGGTGTCACAGTATGGAACAGGGGGGTGTCCTCCCCTGCTCTGCGCTGTGTCTGCGTCCAGCCCTCGGATTTCCAGGGAACTCAGTGGGAGCCAAACTTCCTGCTGCGACAGTGTGAGAGTTTGAACAGTCTCACTCGTCCCTGCCCAGAAGATGTCAGATTCCTCCTCACAGTGATTCACTTCTCGCCCTATCCATGCGAGATCTCCCCCTCCTGTCCCCTCGCACACACGTTTTGAGATAGAAAGAGAGGGGGGATGTGAATGTTTCTTTAAGCCTAGAGAGCATCTTCACGGAATAACTGCCCAAGAGGCAGCAATAGACAGAGGTTAAGACTACAGACTGGAATCAAACAGCCTGAGTTCAAATCCCGTGTCTCCGTGTACTAGCTGTGTGACCTTGAGCAGAGGGCCTTGGTTTCCTCACTTATAAGATGGGGACAAGAACAGCACCTCAGACAGTTGCTGCTGACACAGGGCCCTGTGTTAGCAGCAGCAGGCCTACAGTCCCTGTCCTCAGAGGGCAGCAGCACGGCTTACACGTGGATTTTTAAAAGTAACAAATAAATGTGGCCAAAATGTAAAGCACATTAAAAATGCAAAATCTCTGGCAGATTATTCTCCGCTAAGAATAAAAAGGAAGAAACACCCATGGACCTGGACGTCAAACTTTCTCTTCCTTCATTTCATGAACTCCCCACACGCTGAGGGGCCCCTCTGCGGACTCCCAGGGCTGAAGTGGCCTCCCAGGCTCCTGAGGGGGCAGTGGGAGCCCCCGTTCAGTCAGTTCTGGGGAGACGCCGCCAGGGTTCCACCAATGCAAACCTGGCACTGCGGGCAGGGGACAGAGAAGCGACTGTGGGGTCAGAGGACCACGAGTCCCCATTCTGCCACTCACTAGTGGAGGCGTCCCAGGCATGACCCCCTGCTGCCGAGCATCCACACCTGGAAGATGGGAAGAATGCCACATGCTGGGGCTGTGATGAGGTTCGCCCTGAGATAATGAATGGGGCGACACTGTGCGAACGGCAGAGGGCAAAAACATAACCAGGAGGGGCGATGGCACCGCCGTCATTAAACACTACCTTGGCCTTAATTGCCTGAGAAATGAGGTCAGGGCGAGCCAGGGTTCCAGCAGTCTCTGCCTCCGAACCTCGGGAGGGAGCCATGGATGATGAAAACCACAGCCGCTCCTGCATCCACTCTGACTCCAGACGATAATGATAATTGCCCTTTAAAAACCCCTGAGTTTCAAAGGACCTGCCTGATAATTCTCAAAAGGAAAAGGCAAATGGTCACCGAAAGTAGAAAAAAGTGTTTAGTTTATCTAGTAGTTAAAGAAATGCAAAGTAAAACAAGGCAGGTTTTTTTTAACCTATCAAATTAATGAAACAATTAAAAAAAAAACCATACCCAACTCTCATACCCACAGCTGGTGGGGACGTTCATGGGCTCTTTCTGGAAAGTAACTCAAGGACAGGTAACATGTAGCTTGAATCAGACTCCTTGGCCCTGCAATTCCACTTTACACATCTGTTCTGAGCAGGCGATTAGAAGGCCTTACACACAAAGTTGCCCATGGCGATGCTATTTAGAGAAAATTTGGATATCTACAAATCCAGTAAGTAGAAATTAAAAAAAAGTAATTTTCGTACATCCATACAAATGTATTATATTAAAAGGAGCTCTTAATGACATGGATAAGTACATATATTTAGTATTAAATGAAGGAAGTAGAATGTAAAATTATAGATCCAAAGGTATCTCAGCCATGTAAAGAACAACATTTGGCCCTGGCCGGTGTGGGTCAGTGGGTTGGAGCACTGTCCAGTAAACAGAAAGGCCGCGGGTTGGATTCCCAGTCAGGGCACACACCTAGGTTGCGGGTTCGGTCCCCAGTCAGGGTGCACATGAAAAGCAACCAACTGACGTTTCTCACATCGATGTTTCTCTCCTTTCTCTCTCCCTTCCTGTCTCTCTAAAATCAATGAGCATGTCCTCAGGAGAGAATTAAAATGAAAAAACATTTAGCACAAAACACTTGCAGAGTGACCTTCCCAAATGTGAACCTCTTATTGGCCTCTGGGTGGACGGACTGTGATTTCTTTACAAAACATCTTTTTCGTACAGTGCAAATTCAGTAAAACAAAGATGCATGCTTTGATAACCACAACAAAGTGGGAATGATGAAAGTAATCAACGGCTTAGGACCCACCAGAGGTGGAGCCCGGGCCTTCGTGTCTGGGCGCCATTCCCCCACACAGACTGTCGGGAACGGACAAGCCCTGCGGCAGACCCACATACACGTCACAGTGCGAACACCAGGGGGCTTACCCACCAGGCACACGGCTTGCAGCTGAGGGTCCACCATGCTCTGCTGATTTTTTGTTAAGGCTGGGCCAGTTTTTAGTTAACACTCATTTTTTAAAATTTAGGGTAACATGTTTAAAGGTTTTTTTTTGACTCTGTAAGAAATATATTTATATCACAACCCTATTACATGTAAATATATACAACTGGAACAAATTTTACCCTTCCTACCTGTAAAGCATGTTGATAATGCCTACTTTAGTCTGTTTTTTAAAATGCCACGTAAGAACCACTAAATTGGTTCCACAAGGCTCCAGCGTGCCGTGGGCCGCAGCTAGAAAGAGGCTGGTGGTCAAGGAGAGCTGGGCCTCCCTTCTCACAGGTCCTGGTCTGGGTGGACAAATGCACAAAGGACACCTGGGCCACAACGGGCGCTCTCTCGGCCAAGGCTGGGTTGCAGAGGAATGAGTGTGGGTCTTACAAGGGGAAGCTCACGCCTTGTAGCAATCAAGCAATAGGCAGGAGCCCCTAAAGTCGGGATCGGGCAGGTCCAGCCCAGAAGAGCTGAGACCCAGGGCATCCGAAAGGCTCCTGGGAGCCCCGCTTGGCCTGAGGACCTCTTAGCTCTTCCTAAGAACCAGGATAGAGTTGCAGTGGTAACCTGGGAGAGCAATGATAAACTGCCTTTGGAATATTAAACTGGCACTATGATATACAGTCCTCACTTCCACAACTCTGTCTGGTTCTGTTCACCCTGGAATCAGAGGGCCTTTCTTTCTCCAACAATTAGGTCAGACCCACTCCTTCCCTGCACACCTGCCTCTGTACGGAATCACCTGACTCTGTAGGGTGGGTGCTGCCTGCAGGAAGGATGTGGGTGGGATTCAGTGGTTCCCATGGCCTGGCATGTCAGAAGTGCCTGGCTCTCTGTGCTGGAAGCTGGTCAGCGGGGGACCCCAAGGCAGACCACTGTTACGGACTGAATGTTTGGGGCCTCCCCTAAAATCCACATGCAGAAACCCTGCCTCGATGTGATGGTGTCTGGGAAGTAATTATGCTTCGATGAGGCCATGAGGGGCAGGCCCCCGTGATGGGATCTGTGCTGCTATAGGAAGAGACAGGGGAGAGTGTGCTCTTCTCCAGTCTCCACCATGTGCGGATGCACCACCACGTGCGGATGCACCACCATGTGAGGGTACAGTCTGCAGCTGGGAAGGGGACCCATGCCAGAACTTACCCTGCTGGCACCCTGAGCTTGGGCCTCCAGTCTCCACACTCTGAGAAATGGATTTCTATTGTTGACAAGCCACCAGTCTGTGGTGCTCTGTTAGGGAGCCCAGAGTGACCGAGACGACCACTAACAGCTGTCATTTCTGTATCTCTAGATGGGCTCCTGCTTAGTGCAGGATACAGACTGTTACAAAAATAAAGCAGGGGGCTGATGAATTTGAGAGAAAGTGAATGAAAGGCTCCAGTCCGCACAGACTTCAAGGAAAAGAGTGGACTTACAATGTCACATTGTCCCTCTGATGATGCCGGTGAAGCTCCTAAGATTTTCAAACCAGCCCTGTCTGTCCTCCTTATGTGACCACAGGCCAAGGAGGCCACATAAGGAGGCATGGTCTGGAAGCACCAGAGGTTACCATCCACCACACCCAGGCCAGGCTCTGGGGGCACCCAGCTCCTCTGCCTCCTCCCAAGGTGCTTCCACCGTCCTCACTGGCTCTACATTTGGAAGTTTTTTTGTCCTTCTCCCTTAACTGGTCTAAGCGTGGCTTCCCCCCACCCCATCCTCTCCCTGGCTCACGTATCTGGCCTCTGAAGACCAGAGGAGGAGGGTCCTTAAGCTCCTGGTCCACAGGGTAACTGAGCCGAATGTATGCAAAGTGGCTTATGAATGATAAAGGGGCACCTGAACATTTATTTGCTGCTGGCGCTACAAGCCTGTTCTGCAGTTCTGTGCATACCTGGCACTACACAGAAAGAACAAATCACGCTCTCTGACATAACATCGTGTGGTGGAACAGAGCCTGAGGAGCCTCGGGAAGCTTTCTTTCCCAAGAAGGAAAAGGAAAGAGGCAGCGATGTCCACGACTGTGGTACTTACAACGGCAAAATCCCAGGCGAGGCGCTACAGTTCAACGAGTGGGGAGCTGTGAGGCCAAGTGGGAAGAGCCACGGAGAAGCAAGTAGCACACACTGTTGTCGGAGGGAGGGACAGGAAACCCCGCCCGCCCCGGGGGAGAAGCAGAGGGCAAAGGAGAGTGAGTAGCCTGATGTGGCTAAAATGTGACTCAATGACTGTTTACAAAGTGGATGCAATGCTCTTCATGTTTTTTTGTTTGCTTGTTTGTGTGTTGCACAGGTGTGGGTGGGGGATATTGCTAATCTTTAGCTTTAAAGCCAATAAAATAGGAATTTCACATTAGGCAGAAAGGCAGGACGCCAATAATACCAACGCTGACTGATGGGTCTCTATGCACCAGGGGCTCTGCTTAGCATTTTCATCCCGATGGCAGTGCCACCGCCCCCACCTTCTGGATGGGGAGAGCCCAGCTCTGGGAGGTACCTGACTTGCCCAGGGAAACGCAGGGAGTGCGTGGAGGTGCGGTGACTCAACCTGCAGGCCCACCCGACCCCAGGGCACGTCTTTCCCAGTGTCTCTGCTTCCCCTGCGCTCTGGAGCCGATCCCAGCCCTGCGGGCTGGAATGACTGGAGGGAATCTTTTAGCCGAATCTGACTTTATGGGAAGAGAGATTTGGAAGACGAACAGACCACACTGGGAGGCAGCGAGAAGTGTGCACGTGGGGCCAGCCTCTGCCAGCTATGCCGGAGATAAAATTAGACCCCCGAAGGCCCTTTAAGCTCTGAGCTGTTTGAAACAGGGAAACAAAAAGAGAGAGAGAGAGAGAGATTGAGAACGATACCTTGCCTGCGTTCAGTTCAGAAATCGCTGCCAGAATCTGCTGCCTGGACCCGTCTGTCTTAATCCCCAGCTCCTTTAAGTCGCCGTCGGTGAGGGTGAGGAATGCCTCCATGTCCACCTGGGAAGGAAGAGGGGGAATTCGCCGCCGTCTGCTTGGTGCCAGAGCTCTCTTTCCCAACCACAGCAGAAACAGCGTGATTATGAGCTATTAGTACTTATTAGCAGTGAAATTAATTACGACTTACTATTTCCAATTCCTGACTGAACGCTGCAAGTTTAGTGGAAAATATCAGTAAGAACTAACTCTCCTGAGCTCTAGCCCTGGGATTTCCAGGAGAGTGTACTTTGGAAAGAACCTGGAAAAGAACAAGAAAAAAAAAAAAAAGCCCCCGAGGCAGTAATCTGGGCAGCTAAGGTGGTGAAAACACCCGAGTCCCGCTATGAGCAAGTACGTTCCAGTTTTGCGGGACTTTGAACAATGCTGGCTACTGCACAGAAAATGTGGGCATATGGAGATACTCACCACGTTTCCCCCCCGAGGACAAGAGGGACGCAGACTGTGGAAAGACAGAGTGAGAAAATGAGCCAGCAGAAGCAACAGGGAAAGAAGCGCTGCGGAGGACGGAGGTGGAGAAGAGCTCAGAGCAAGGGCGTCCCAAAGCCACACAACCTCTGGTTTCCACTGGAGAAATCCTAATGTTCCTGTCCTCCCTGCCCATGCCTCAGCTCCAGGAGAAACAGCTTCCACCCTGCTTTCCTTCTCTTTTTTAACAGTCACTTGACTTTCCTGGGTTAAAAAAAAAAAATCTTGACCCAGCTTTGCAGCACCGGGACAGGGTCTGTTCCCCCAGCCCATCCTGAGCTCTCTGTGAGACTCAGGCCTCTCCCTCCTCTCTGACAACCAGCTCCTCTGGGACTTTCTAGCGCACCAGGTGCTGAGGAGCTGAGCGAGAGTGGTGTGGCTTCGGCTGAAACCAGCTGGCCCCTGGGCCTGCAGGACACTCCCCTCTCCCCTCCACCCCACACCTGTGGCAGGCAACCCATGTCCAGTCCCCACAGCCAGCTCTTTGGAAGGACAGTATATAGCAAACAAAGGTAGGCAGCCACCGCAAACAGGAAAGGTTTTCTTGGTGACAAGAAGAATCACTGCTCCACTTTACAACTCCAGAGAGGCAGGATGGACAGGCTGGGTGGGGCAGAAAAGCAAACCGGGAAGAAAGCCACGGCACGCCAGTCCGTTTCTTGAAGCAGAATTCAAGCTCCTCGATTACATCTCAAGCTTGTTGGGGGCAGTGACTGGTTCTCGTGATTGTGACTACATGTGCCACAGTTTCATGTGCTACTAAACCGGGCACCAGAATGTTCTCGACCAGCGATTACACCCTGGTGGCTTGTGGGCCGCAGAGAAATTTTATTTGGCCAAAACGGGAAATTTTTAACAGCGCACTGAGGTGTAATTTACCTACCCTAAAACTCTCCCATTTAAAGTGTGTGACTCAAAGACTTTTGGGGCGGAGTTGTGTAACCGTCTCCACGCTCAATTTCAGAGCATTTCCATCCTCGTTAGAAATCCCTCCCCACCCTCCTCGCCCCGCCCCGCCCCGCATCCCCTGGCCACCACTGATCTTTCTGTCTGTACTGTCTGCCTGTGCTGGACATTTCACGTAACCGGAACCATGGGGCGCATGGCCTTTTGTGACCAGCTCCTGTCACTCGGCACCACGCTTCCAGGGTTCACACGTGTCGCGGCATGTGGCAGAGCTGCATTCCTTTCTGAGGACCACGTTCTACTCCATTGGGGAGAGAGGGCACACTCTGTTTATCTGTCATCAATTAATGGGCACTGGGTTGTCTCCACTTTTTGGTGACTACAAACAGATGCTACTGTGGACACATGTGTACAAGTTTTCATGTGGGCCCACGTTTTCATCTCTCGTAGGTGTATACCTAGGGGTGGGCTTGCTGGGGCTTACGGTACCTCTTCTGTTTAAAGTTTTGAGAAACTGCTGAACTGCAAAACAGCACTATTTTAAATCTGTGATTGTGAGAGCTTTTAAGTAAATAGGAATTCTCTCAGATTAACACAAACTCTGCATCCAGACACTTAACACGGAGTCACTGGGATCTGCTAACCTGAGACCCTGTTGGTCAGTCCCGTGGACAAGCGTGTGGAGGTCAGACACACGCTCTGAGAGAGACAGAGCCGTGCTCGATGTTATAAAATTCTATTACAACGCAACAAGCCGTGAGGTCCCCAGAATTTCACTGTAACTAAACAGTGAAATTGGACTGAACTAAATGTGCTGAACACGGATTCTAGTTCCTCAGCCGTCACAGTGAAAATGACCAGTCTAAGGCTGGCAGAAGGAAAACAAGCAGAAGCAATGAGGAAAGACATTCTTCAGACAACGTTTTAAGCAACGAGGTTTAAACTGAGATTCAAAAAGAACATCCTTACCTCTTGCTCCTCAAAAATGGGCTGATATTTCTCAAGTGACAACTTCTTAAGGATTCCAGTCAGTTCGTCTTCAGGAGGGAAAGACGTGAAAAACAAAACACAACACCATTTTAGAATGTGATGAAATGTATCAAAAGAGTGGCCTTCAAACTTTCATAAAGCACAGAAAGCAGATGTAAACTGCACCCCCAGGGGTGGGGCTGGAGGCCCCATCCCCCGCCGAGGTCAGGCCAGGGGCATTGGCCGAAGTCCCTAAAAAACGGGGCTGTGACGAAAGAAGACAGGGATGTTCACGGCCAGGCCAGCTCTCCAACGGCTGCAGCCACCAAGGTCCTGGAGTCCCAGCTGCTGGGATTGGAACTCTGCCTCCTGCCCAAGACTCGTTTGTAATGATGAGGTGTTGGCTGCTGGTCTCTGCACCTGCAGTAAATGCATTGAATGCCAGCGAACCCTCAGCTGGTCAGGGAAAGAACTTAGAACGGGCAGGTGGGCTTGAGCCCAGAGTCAGAGTTTGGATCGAGTGTGCGGAGGCTGTGAGCTTCCGGAAGGAAGGTCGAGTCTCAGTGGGGCAGAGGGGCAGGTGCCAGAGGAAAACGGAGGAGTATTCTGGGTATCAAGATAGCAGAGTAGGGAGAGTGAAGAAAGGAAGCAAGACTAGTACCTGAGGGTTTAAAGAAACATTTACTCACACATTCGATAAGCATCTACCAGACTGGGCACTGGGGACTCAACAGAGACCAAAATAGACCATGAGCAGGCTGACGAGGAAGAACAGAGCAGCGTGGGCAAGGCTGACATGGGACAGCAGCATCCTGCTTCATAGAGGGTGGTCAGGGAGGGCTTCTTGCGTGAGGCATCGCTGGAGCACTAGGTGAAGACGCAGGATGTGCAGATACGAAGGGGAAGAGCACCAGGCCGCGGGAACAGTAAGTGCAAAGGTCTCAGGACAGTGGGTACAGTTCACAAAAGAGGGGACTGGAGGTTAGAAGGCCTGAGTCACTCAACAGTGGCCACCAGTGTGTCCACAATATGCTGGGCATGCCAGTGTGGAAAGGCTCCTGCTGGGAGGAGCTCAGTGTGGGGGGGAAGACACAACAAAGAGGTGGCAGCAGATACACATCGCTCACCACCAGGCACCTGTACATGGATGAGCCCTTCGCTCTCTACAACAGCCCCCTGAGGCGGACCCTATTACTGTCCCCATTTACAGATGAGAAACTGAGGCACAGAAAGATCGGGTGCCGTATCGTGTGTGGGTCACACTGCTGGCCTATGGCATGGCAGAGATGCAAACCCAAGGTCTAGCTACCTAGGCCTGCACCCCACACCCCACTCGGCCACTGATCCCACTGGTGGTGAGTGAAGGGCACAAGCAAGGGGACCTGGGACCGAGACCCAGCCAGAGGGACTGGGGAGCTCTTCGGAGAAAAGCAGCTACTGAGTGAGGACGTGTGAGATGAACCGAGTCCCAGCCCAGACACAACCCAACATCGTTTCACGATGCCAAACCTTCGCTCTTGCCGCTCCCCGGGCATGCAGTCTCTCCCCACAGTGGCGTGCTGGCAAATGGTTAACCACGGGGCTCAGGGGGAGTGCACTCACGTATGTAGGTACACGAGTTTACTGCAGATTTTACTGATGTAAAAGAATGTGCAGCACACAGTGTACATGTCGTAACAAACTAGACAAAACTCTTCATTATAAATCCATATAGTGAATGTTTCCATTGCATTTCAGGAGTCCCATGGAATTCTTGCACTGATTTTTGCCCTACTCTTGCACCAATGGCCCAGGAGGGCAGTTCCAGTGTGAAGGCTGGCTGTTCCTTTCGTGTGAAAGTGGAGGATGGAATGAAACAATGAAGACATATGTTCTAACATCACTCGAGCAACTTCGCTGAATTAGATAACGGTTCTCAAATCCTGGGAGAACATTTTCTCAGTTGTTCGTGCTGTTCACAATGTAACAGCACCAGACATAACACTTCCAAGTTTAACCTGCATGACTGACATTGTCTCCACCACTGTCTAGATTACATCCAGATGATCCACAGAACAATAAATCAAGCCCTGACCAGTGGCGTTTGCTGATTTCCACGGTGGAAAATACCCCCATCACGGCCAACCAAGGTACCGCTCCTGAAAGCAGAACTGGACAGAGATGCCCAGGAGTGACCGTGGTCATGTGATGTTCCCACCACACAGACGAGAGATGTAAATAATCTCAAGAGCATAGATATTCATAAATGCACTAAAAAACAGCACATAGTTGAGTTTTAAATACCACACACCCTTACACTTAATATAATTTAATATTACATTCATATGATTTATTTTTGTTCTTCCTTTTTTGTCTTCTTTCACATACATTTTGTTGTTGTAATTTTACGTTTTAAAGCTGTGTTTAGTCGCCAGCTGGTACATCCCCTATACATTTAATGCTCAGCTCCGGGCCACCAGGGCCTCGTCTCTCCCCAGCCCCAGGGGCCTGGCCGAGGGCCTGCTCCCGGGAGGCCCTCCTGGCACTCCACGCTCAGCTGACCACGTCTTTAGCGCTCAGCTGACCATGTCTCGCATTGCAGTCATTTCATGTGATTCTGTCGAGTTCATCTGACTCCCCAGCCTGACTGTGAGCTTTCCTACCACCCAGCACAGGTTGTGGGACCCAGTGGCTGCCCCAGAAGCCCTCCTGGGACGAACACGAGGTTGAGGAAGCAACTTCGTCACAGGCCGCACTGCTTCCAATGGGAGCCCACAGAGAGAGCGATGCAGGGGGAAGGATGGGCGGGGCATCATCACAGGGGCCACACATTTCCCACAAGAACAGAAACAGTATCTGTTCAAGGCTGGAGCTCGGCCACTCTCCTGTGACAGTCTAACGCCCCATGGGTCCTCCTCTTCTTTCACCCCACCGAGGGGTCTGCAAACTTTTTAAATGATGGATGAGAGGAGCAGGCATGGACCATGCACAGGGATATCCACCGTCTCAACTCTCTTCTGGAAAAGGTGAGGCACAAGCACCTAACGGAGCCTTTAGGCGTTTTGACTCCCAAGAGCCCCAAGCTGGGAGAATTCATGAGTGGGGGCCTTAAAGGCTCCACAGAGAAAACACAGCTAGTGAGGAACGGGGTTGCTAGTGAATCTCTGAAGCTTTCGTAAATGATCTCACCAGATATCACAAAACAGTACAGCAGCCCCCATATACAACGAATGCCAAGGGCAGCACACATGTATTAACTCAGGCTTCCAACTCCTCCCACGCTGGGCAGAACCCGCTCCACACGCCCTCCCAGCAGCTGGGGCGAGGCGCCTGCAAATGCTGGTGAGGGCCACCTGCGCAGTGACATTCCCTGTGCTTCCCTCTCTGATTTATACTCCTGGACTTGCCCTGCCTGGGCCCTGCCTCTCGTGGAGGCTCCGCCCCCTCTCTCCCCCATCTCCACTCCCAGGGGCCACCAGAGGACGGTTTTAAAACGTGACTTTCTTCTTTTCATCTCCCTTCACCTTTCCTGGGGCCTCACTGCGAGGCCTCCGCTCCGGCCCTGCCATCCTCTCCGTCTCCATCTCCTCAGCGTCCCCCAGGAGAGGCCTGTCACTCACACACCCAGGTTCTGAAGTCCTGCTGGGTGCAGCAGACACCTGCTGCTTGTGTTTGCCCAGCACCCAGCCTCCTCCTCCTCTCTGGAGAGAGCACTTCAGTTTCCCTCTGAGAAGCTGCTTCCCTCTCACTTCTAATCCACACTGTGTGGGCCGGGCAGACCCCAACCCTGGCTCCAAAGACAGACATGTGACCTGGGCTTGGCCAATCAGCACACTCCACCCCCATGGACATAGAGAGAGTCCAGTATGGGCAAATGACTGAAGTTGTTATAGATCAGCAAAGGCAGGCCAATGACCTCTACCCCTGGGATTTTACTGGACCTACCGAGCATTCAGATCTCCCTCTGCTGGGGTTGCTAAGTCAGTAGGAAGAAGCAGTAAGTCTAACACTGGCGGGGTGCATCCCTGCCACCACCCCGAGGCAGCCCACCTGAGATACGGACAGAAACACTCCCGAAGCACCTGGACCCAGACATGTCTGAAGCACAGCCTGGACATGTCCATCATATGAACCAGCAAACAATCTGTGTTTTGTTTTGGTTTAAATCAGAGTGACTTCCAGCCAAGGAGGCGTAGGTAGATACACTTTGCTCCCTCGCACAACCAAAAGCAGGAAAACAACAAATTTAAAAACAAAAAACAACTAGAACTGCCAGAATATTGAGCTGCAGGGAAGTCCAACAACCAAGGAGTTAAAGAAGAAACATTCACCCAGACTGGTAGGAGGGGTGGGGACAGGCAGCTGGGGCAGAGAAGACTCTTGGAGAGGCGGCGGCTGGGGGAGCCGAAGGTCCCACATTCGAGTGCAGATGAACCGGATGGAACAACTGGGGAGCGAGACAGACTGAGCAACCCAAGGTTCCAGCACAGGGAAATAAAGCCTCAAAACCTCTAACTGTAAAAACCTGTGGGGGTAGCAGCAGTGGCAGGAAAAGCTCCCAGCCTCGCAGGAGAGTTCACTGGAGAGACCCACAGGGCCCTGGAACGTACACAAACCCACTCACTCAGGAATCAGCACCAGAAGGGCCCAGTGTGCTTGTGGGTAGTCCGGGAAGTGACTGAAAGCTGGGAGAGAATGGAGTAAATGTGTTCCCTCTCCAACCCCTCCCCCACATACAGCACCACAATGCAGTGATGTGAGTTGCCCCGTCCTGGCAAATACCTAAGGCTCTGCCCCTTACTATGTAACAAGTGTGCCAAGACAAAGAAATATGGCCCAAATCTTTGAAAGAACAGATGAAAGCTCCAAAAATAAAACTAAGTGATGAAGAGATAGCCAATTTATCGATGCAGAGTTCAAAACACTGGTAATCAGAAAGTTCACAGAAATGGTTGAGTATGGTCACAAAACAGAGGCAAAAGTGAAGGCTATGTAAAAGTGAAATGAAGAGAAATGTACAGGGAACCACCAGTGAAGGGAAGGAAATAGGGACTCAAATCAAGAATTTGGAGCAGACGGAAGAAATAAACATTCAACCAGAACAGAAGGAAGAAACAAGAATTCAAAAAAATGAGGAGAGGCTTAGGAACCTCCAAGACAACTTTAAATGTTCCAACATTCGAATCATAGGGGTGCCAGAAGGAGAAGAAGAGGAGCAAGAAATTGAAAACTTATTTGGAAAAATAATGAAGGAGAACTCCCCCAATCTGGCAAAGGAAATAGATTTCCAAGAGGTCCAGGAAGCTCAGAGTCCCAAAGCTGGACTCAATGAAGCACACACCAAGGCACATCATAATTACATTAGCCAAAATTAAAGATAAGAAGAGAATCTTAAAAGCACCAGCAAGAGAAAAGGAGACAGTTACCTACAAAGGAGTTCCCATAAGACTATCAGCTGATTTCTCAAAAGAAACCTTACAGGCAAGAAGGGGCTGGAAAGAAGTATTTGAAGTCATGAAAGGCAAGGACCTACATCCAAGATTGCTCTATCCAGCAAAGCTCTCATTTAGAATTGAAGGGCAGATAATGCTTCCCAGATAAGGTCAAGTTAAAGGAGTTCATTAGCACCAAGCTCTTATTATATGAAATGTTAAAGAGACTTATCTAAGAAAAAGATGATCAAAACTATGAACAGCAAAATGATAACAAACTCACAACTATTAACAACTGAACCTAAAAAAAAACAAAACAAAAAAACAAACTAAGCAAACAACTAGAACAGGAACAGAATCACAGAAATGGAGATCATATGGAGGGCTATCAGCAGGGAGGGGGAGGGGGAGAATGGGGGAAAAGGTACAGGGAATAAGAAACATAAATGGTACAGAATAGACAGGGGGAGGTTAAGAATAGCATAGGAAATGGAGAAGCCAAAGAACTTACATGTACGACCCATGGCCAAGAACTAAGGCAGGGGAATGCTGGTGGGATGGGGGGAGGGTACAGGGCGGGGGGGAATAAAGGGGAGAAAAAAATGGGATAACTGTAATAGCATAATCAATAAAATACATTAAAAAAATAAACAAGTTTCAGTGAAGACTCCATCACTTGCAACTGAATGAATCCCGATTTACACAAGGTTCAGGGGGAGGTGCCTAACTGCCATTGAGGAAACACTCCCACAGGTGTGTGTTTGTGGGTATAAATGAAATTGACCTACATCCGACAGCTCACCACATCTTCATCACAGTGAAGAGGACAATACAAGGTGGCATCAGGGAAGGGGAGGGGCCAGTGTTGTTGTTTGTTTGTAACAGATAAACCAGACCCAGGATGGTTATAGCAATTAAAGGCACCTGCCAGGTCACCATGGTGAAGAGGAAAGGGTGGGGTTTCCAGGCCTCAGGGGACTCACCCTCGTCGGTGATGGTGCCACTGCTGGAGCCCCCACTGCTCTTGGACTGCCGGTGGGAGGAGGAGGAGGACACCGAGGACTCCGCGGCATGGCCTTTGGGTGAAGGGGAGGGCGTGAGGGTGGGGGAGGTGCTTTTGGAGGTAGTGGATGTTCCAGAAGGAGGCCTTTTGCTTGTCTCCAGTTTCTGCACAAAAGAATAAGACAAATACACAGCTAGCGCCTGGAAGGTGGAAGAGGTTAAAGCAGACACCCACAACAGGGAACCCGCAATAAGACATTGAACCAGAGGTATGAAATCTGTTTTAAAAACACACACATGCAAAGCAGAAACAGCTTTATCAGAACAGTTACAGGAGAACCCTCCCCTGGAGTGGAGCAGGGGGTGGGATGGAAAAAACAACCCACGAAGTCAGGGAATGCGGGCACTAGTCCTGCCCCTGCCAGCGCTGTGTCCTTGGCCAAGTCCCCTTACCTCTCAGTTAACCCAGCGTGGAGATGGGAGTGTGACTCATTATACGCCATGTCCCTTTCTGCTCTGGATGTTCCTTCACCCAAACCAGCTGCTTCCAGCCTCTCACCAATGGACACATTTCCTCTTGGTGTGTGACTTAATTTTTTTTTTATTTGGAAATACTCTTAGATGTATGGAAGAATGAAAAAGAACAGAGTGCCAGTGTATCCCTGAGCCAGCTTCCCCTGATGTTAGCATCTTACAGAACCAGAGTACAATTACCAAAACTGAGAAATTAGCATTGGGACATCCTGTTAGCTAAACTACAGATTGGACTCGGAACTCACTGCTTGTTCCGCTAACACCCCGATTCCAGTTCAGGATCCAGTCCAGGTTCCAGGTGGCACTGACTCGTAGTGCCCTCCTCCAATCTGTGTGGGCTCCACAGCTCTGCCTTTTCCTTACCTTAATGTTTCTGTTCTGAAGAGTCCTGGGTGGGTATTTGTAGACTGTCCCTCAGATTGGGTTTCTCTTATGTTTTCTCATAATTAGATTTACTTATGGGTCTTGGGGTCAAGGACCACAGAGGTGAGGCATGGTTTTCTGCCCCTCATCCCAGGAGGCACAAAGACCAGTGCCTGTCACCGATGTTAACCTTCATCACTCAGGTAAGGGGGTTGGTGTCTGTCCGGTGAAGTTAGTTTTTCCCTTTATAATAAAGAAATATTTGGGGGAAGATATTTTGAGCTACATATCTTGTTTTTTCTTAAAGTTTAACCCACTAATTTTTCTGGTGCCTGTTGTATGGAGCAATTACCAGTGAGATGTTCCAACAGCGACTTGCTATTTCCCTTATTCTTTCCACCTTTACTATCTGGCATTTTTCTGTAAGGAAGAGTTGTTCCTTCTGCCTCACTTATTCGGCTACTTATTCATATCAAGATGGGCTCACAGATATTTATTTTCATCTTGAGCTATAATCCAATACTATCGTTCTTTAGAGTCACTCAACTTGGTCCAGCTTTGGCCACTGAGACCTTCCAGGCTGGCTCCTGTGTCCTTTAAACATGCCCGTCTTTTTTCTTCTTTCTTTTCAAAAGCATTTCCTTACCTTCTGACAGCACGGAATGCTTCAGGCTCAGCCCATATTCTCACTGACCCACTACTGGAATAAACCACTTCTCCAAGGCCTGGTCCTTTTTGTTGGAGAATGGAGTTTAGAAAACAAAATCTGCGAACTAGACTGCTCGTTGCTACTGGGATGTCACTGTTTCCAGGTCCTGTCAGTAGACAGAGCGAGGAAACATATGAAGCACACTGGCCCGCACATACACACATAGCCATGTTTCTTCATCCACTCGTGTGTACATATGTACATGTGTGTATTTATATGTATAAGCATGTGTTCATAATGGTTCAACACTGCTACTCCTGACTGCAATCCAATATCCACAGGGTTTGCTCTAGCATTTCCCCCTTTACTTCAATCTCTGACAGTTAAAACCTGGGCTTATATTATATTTACTTTGTTCAACCTTATATTCATGTAGAGTACATAGATATGCAAAAAGTATACATATATAAAGTGATTTTGGAATTTAAGCTACATCCCTGTAAGAAAAAAAACTTTTCACGTAGAATTCAGTGCTTACGTACGGCCCTTTTTGTCTTTACCTTAGCCTGACCAAATCCACTTGACATGTTTTTTCCCCCACTTCCTACAGTGTGGTTATGTCATTCATTCATAATACAGTTAGATCTGCTGTCATAGTCTGAATTCCATCTTATTTTGGTTCCTGGTTGATATTTTAAAAATTTGCACACAGTAGAAATGACTCTGTTGTGTAGAATTCTACAGGTTTTTACAAGTGCACAGAGTTGTGTACCCACCAACAGAGTACCATACCAAACAGTCCGTCACCCCCAAATTCCCTGTGCTGTCCCTGATTAGTCAGTCCTTCCCTTGACCCCAACCCACAAAAACAACTTATCTGTTTTCCATCCCTGTAGTTTTGTCTTTTCCAGAATGTCATATGAATGGAATGATACACTATGTGGACTTTTGGGTCTAGATCAATACAATGCCTTTTAACACTCATTCAAGTCACTGCATGCTATCGGCAGTGTGTTCCTTCCCATTGCTGAGAAGTATTCCCTGCATGGGCGTACCACAGTTAGTTTACCCACGAATCTGATGATGAGGTGTTTCCCATTTGGGGTGATCATGAAAAAACTCCTATAAACATTCACCAACAGATTTTTACACAAACAGAAGTTTTTTAAAAATTCACTTGGGTAAATGCCTACGAGTGAGATAGCCAGCTCATATGCTAAGTATATGTTTCGTTTTATAAGAAACTGCCAAACTTTTCCAAGCTGGCTGTACCATTCTGCATTCCTACCGGCAATGAATGAAAGTTTCAGTAGTCCTCCATTCTCATCAACACTTGCATCTTTAATTTTTTGTTTAATTTTAGCCATCCTAATAGGTGTATAGTTCTGCCTCCCTGTGATTTTAATTTGCATTTCCCTAATACCTAATGATGTTCAACAGTTTTTTCATATGTTTATTGCCATTTGCATGTCTTTGATGAAGTACCTATTCAGACACTTGGCCCATTTTTTAAATTTGCTGTTAATTTCTTATTGCTGAGTTTTGAGAGTTGTTTACTTTGTAGTTTACATGATATGAGCAGGTGTATTCATTTTGACATTTGTCTTATTTAGTGTTTTCTGAACTTCCTAGATCTGTGCTTTGGCATCTATCATCAATTTGGAGAAATTCTCGGCCATTACTTAAAAACACTCCTTCCGCCCCACCATTCTCTCTCTCCCTTTTCCTTCAGGGATCCCACTCATCCGTGTGGGAGAGCGTCTGATGTTATCCCACCCCTTCTGGATGCTCTGTTTTTGTTGTTGTTGTTCTTGGGTTTGCTTTCACTTCTCTTTGCGTTTCAGTTTGGGTGATTTCTATCGCCCCATCTTCAATCTCACTGACTCTTTCCTGGACTCTGCCAGGGCTTCTAGGAGTCCATCAGAGGCATTCCTCGCCTCTGTTACATTCCATGGACTTCTGGCATTTCCACTTGCTTCTTTCTTGTAGTTTCCATCTCTCCGCTGAAATAGTTACTCATATAATTTGCATGTGGTTCAAATTTCCCATGGGAACCTTTAACACATTAATGGTAGTTTTTTAAACGCCCTGTCAGATAATTCCAACACCTGAGTCATATCTAAGTGAGAGTCTTCTGATGATTGCTTTGCTTCTTGGGAGTGTAGTTTTTCTTGCTTTTTCATATGTCTTGTAATTTTTGCTAAAAATTGAACACCTTAAAAGTACGATAGGCCCTGACTTGTGTGGCTCAGTTGGTTGGGTACTATCTACAAAGTGAAAGGTCACCAGTCCGATCCCTGGTCAGGGAACGCGCCTGGGTTGTGGGCCCCGTCCCTGGTTGGGGGCAAGTGCGGGAGGCAACCAACTGATGTTTCCCTCACACACCAATGTTTCTCCCTCTCTCTTTCTCCCTCCCTTCCCCTCTTTCTCTCTCTAGAAACTAAAAAGAAAAAAAAAGGTATGATAGTGGAAGCTAAGTTTATGCCTGGAAATGGGCACATCTCTCCTGCTCAGTCCCTCCTTCTAACTAAACTAGAGTGGAAAAAAAGTCCCTTTCTTAGGTTTTAAAAGACTGTATCAATTAGCTGCCTATATTATTAATAAATTTCTCCCTCTTCTTTCCCACAGAGACATTCAATAATGAAAGTTCTGATTAAGCAGAAAATAATTAGTATATCCCTGTAAAACAGATCTCCCCAGCCAAAAGGATAGGAAAGCAATACTCTGAACCTGTGAGCAGCATTACTGGGAAGGGGCAGGTGGATGTAGGATTCGGGTGCTCTGAGATACCTGGACTATCCTCCATGTCCTCAGCGCAGGAGACTCACTGCATGAGCAGCCGTATCTCCACTCCTCCCTGGACTCACCTCCTTTGCCACGTCCCTCTATGTTCTCCGACGCTGGGTGTGTTTATTTGCTTACACAACTTGATGGTTTTTCAACGCATGGCTTCAGCCATTGCCACGAGAACACGTCCAGGCTTGTGGACACACATGGCCTTGTTATCCCGGTCACTACAGCCAAGAGCCAGACATGCACATGATCCCCCCAGACCGGAGGAGCTGCCTAGTTAAGTCCAGACTCCATGGCCGACCCACAGATTCATGAGCTGAAGACATGCTTTTTGTGTTCAACCACCGAGCTTTGGGGGTGGGAACAGAAAGCCGAGAGACTCCTGTAGGCTTTCAGAGGTCTGGAAAGTGTAGAAAAATGCTCTGACTGCCCGTGCCATTCCGTGCCTCCCAAGGCTCCCTTCACGCTGATCCACAAACATGCTGGCAGTCACGCCTCGTGAACACGCCACTATCACAGTACAGCTTGTTTTAAGCAAAGTACAAAAACCAGATTCAGGAGGCTCATATTTTGAATACTAATTTCTAACTCTTCCTAAGGGAGTCTTTGGAAAGTACTTCGTGTCTCCATTCTCTGGAGCCATTGACAGAAAGCCCACTCCTGGTGTCCTCTGATGGAGGCAGTGGTTTCTGAAAGCCCTGAGCTGGGCTGGCTGCAGCACTCTTGGGGGTGGGGGGAAGCAGGTTCCCCAGACCCTGCCTTGAGAGTTTCATTCAGTTACCCTGGGTGGAGCCCAGAAACCAGAAGGTTACAGCATGTCATTATGTCAAGAATGTTAGTCGATCATTGAACTGGATCATTCCCCCAGTTTCTTGTTTCCTAAATGCATCTTTTGATGCAATTTCCTTTCATCAGAATATACTCTTTATAGATTATATGTGACAGATGCATTCAAGTGAGATAATAATTAATATAGTTTATAATTTAGATGTCTACCTTTGTCCAACACCAATTTAAGGAAGCTAATAATCTCTAATGCATCTGATAAGATCATCAAAATAGAAACACAAAACTTTAGGCAACAGAGGATGACTACATCAAAGCCCAGACTGGCAAATTTACTTTAACGAGTAGCTCTGAGTTTCCTAGCAGCAAAGGCAAAAAGAAAAATACAATAATTATATAAATCTTACTATTTGAGGGGAAAAAATGCATCCAAGTATCAGTAGAGACACTTTTTCCAGAGCCAAATTCTAAAAGGAACTCAACTGCACAGATCCATATCACTTTACACAAGTAATTTACAATATAATGGAAAATATGCTAATGCACACAGAGTGAGACACTTCCTCTGGGGCTATATTGTAAAAGGAACCTAATTACATAGGTCCGATCACAAAGGGACTTTGAACAACAAAAAGTTGGTAGCCAAGGGTGGTTGGGCAGAAAAGAAAGACTATTTCTCATTCCTCATTAAAACATCACCCTCTGAAGGCACACCTGGGCAAAGGTCCATGGGTGAGGCTCTCAGGTGACCTAACTGTTCTCAGGGAAAGAGTTAAGACCTAGAAAGTATGATAAAGAATGGGGCTGCACCCGGGCTTGGGGTCCTCTCAGAGGAGGCAATGAGCTTTACTGCACCGCCGAGGGGCGGGGCACACGGAGGGCCACCTCGGGAGGAGCCAGTTCACGTTCACACTCTGCGGGCTTCCTCCGTGGATGAGCCCAGGAGGTGGAAGGGGCATTGTGAAGACATGAAAAGACTTCCCATTCCAAGGAGGCAGTTAGGGTTTCCTGTCCCTCACAAACTCCGCAGGCAGCAACAGTGCGGTGGCGGCTCTGGGGCTGCCTTACTGGAGGGATGGAGTCACACCAGGGAGCTGAGGCCCTGGCTCTTGTCCTGCCCGCCGACCTTCTGTCCACTCCTCCCCTCTGCCACGCCCTGGCCTCTGGAGGGCTGTGAATGCGGTCCCTTCACTCCAGAAGAGCCCCACACCCAGCTCCTTCCATCTGACTCCTTGTCCTTCAGGTCCCCGTTTAGACGTCGCTGGTGCCCCGAAGCGTGGCAGGGCGTCCTCCCTTCTCCACGACAGCCCCTGCCACACTGAGGCGAGACTGTCTGTGCCATAAGGACACAGTCGTCACGAAACCCCAACTCACTGCAGGACCCTCACTGCTGGCAGGGCCAGGCTCAGAGCAGAAGCTCCAAAGATGCGTGCAAGGAAGGAGCAAGGTTAGTGCTAGTCACGTCAACACAGCTGGCACTCACACAGGCTCCCCAGGGGCCAGGGCCCCCTCCTAAATGCTAAAGTGTGCTGCTGAGCGTTGAACCCTGGCAGTCTGGCCCTGAACCCATACCCTGAACCCTTTCGCTCTAATCAGTAAACAAACGTGTGCAACGTGGGGCTGGATGAGGCACCTGCTGGTGCCCCGAGGTCAGGTGGGAGGTGACCATGTGTACCAGGGACCATGTGATATGGGCGACTGCCCGCACCACCCAGCCCTTCTCAGGAAACCCAGGAGCAGCTGCCGAAAGGGGCCTGTTCCACACATGTGGCACCGCCCGAGTGCCCGGCTGTCAGGACGGAAGTTGTGAGTGTGACAGGAGGAGACAGACACAGAACGAGCACCTTGCTGCCGGGACCACCGCCACCTGTGGGGGAGACTGGATGCTCAGAAGGGCTGGACCCAGGTGCTGGCCCAACAGGACTTGACCGATGGACGGGCTTCTGCTCAGACAGTCCAGCTGCTTTCTTCCTCTGGGCGGCGATCTGGGACAGGACACTGTCTATGCTGCCACCTGGGGAGAGAGGAACAGGAATGCCGGCCACAGGCCCAGGGACTGCAGCCCGTGTGTGACGGGCTTCCTGTGCCGACCTGAACACGCCAGAACCACTCTGCCCATGACGCCTCCCCATGGGGTTCTGGGTCAGGGCTGACCACGAGAGGACTCTGCACGAGAACTGGAAGGTGGTGGGGGGACAGTGGCCATCATGTGATGAAGGCATCACGGTACGAGGTGGTGAAAGATGCAGTGCTGGCAAGGTCAGCTTGTCCTCGCTTTTCCCAACACCACGGCCAGCTCAGCCAGCCTCCAGCCGGCACAGACGCCTGCTGCCCTGTCCTGAATTCCTGCCTCGGCCCCTATGCAGTGCCACCAGGGCTCCTCCCGCGACCTCCGTCTGCCCCCATCGACCGTTACATCCCCAGCTCCTCCCACAGGCGTGTCAATAATAACTCCTCACTCCGTAGCACCCGGAGATGCCGGCCTCCCTGACTGAGCCCTGACTGGCACGTTCCCTCTCCCCGTCCCCCCAAATCCACGGGCAACCTTGAATTATTACGAAAGGAAACGACGAGAACACTGGTAACTAACACTTCCAGGGCATTCGCCAGGTGCCGGGCACTGCAGTGAATATTTCACATGGATAAACAGAGCCATTCTAGAAGGCAAAATGTATCAAAAGCCTTAAAAACAGGCAAACCCACTGACCTCACCACCCTGATCTGAGGGAACTTACGTTAAGCAAATCACTGACTGAATACGCAGATAGGAGTATGGAGTCATTCCTTAGAGGGGTTGGTGATCATCTAGGAGAGCAGACACTGAGGAGAGCCTCAGGGTTCAGGAAGAGGGAGCCAGTTACATCAAAGTGTGACTCCTCGCATGAACTTGGGCTGTTAAAAAGATGCCGTGCACACAGGCACACAGCCATGAAAGGGCATCCCCAACTTGGCAATGAGTGCAAAGAGGAAAACGGCTGCAGAGCAGTCCATACTTGGAAGTCAGCATGCTGATTGGGTCCTGGCTGTGCTACTTCACCGCTGTGTGACCTTGACCAAGGTATTTAACTTCCCTGAGCCTCAGTGCCCTCGTCTGTAACATGGAGAACAACCCTTGCAGGCTGTTGGGGCCTGAAGGAGACAGTCCATGTAATGGGTTTGATGCGAGGCCTCGCACATACTAGTTCTATAAATTATTCCGCTTAAATAATACAGTATGCATAAAAGGACTTTGCACAGACATACACCAGAGTGTTAATTATGATCTCTAGCGGGTGAGATTATACCTTATTAGTACTGCTATTATTATCATCTTTTGGTTCGTCTGGTCTTACAGCTTTTCTACAAGACACAGGCGCTCCGTGTGCAATGGCACAGAGCAGGGTGCTCTTCCGCAAAGCTGGCTTTGGTTAGTCCTGGGTGTCCTTGGAGAGGACACAGAACTATGCTGCACGTCAGAACAAACGGTTTGGGGCCTAATCATCACCGACTTTCTCTATGTCCCTGGGCCAGACCCTTGCCCACTCTGACCTTCGGTTTCCTCACCTGTTCAATGAAAAGGCGGGATGAGAGGCTAAGGTTTTACCTTCAAGGATTTTAAACACCATGAAAACACCATGCATTTCTCCTAATTTCTTGTAAAGGTTTTCTAAGAAAATAAAGCATTATAGACTTTATTTCCTCTGTCTCTACTCCTGCCCCCCAAAAAAGGCAGAGAAGAAACTCAGAATTGTGACTTCACTGAAAAATCACATCAGGAAGACAAGGTGTGTGCAGTTGTGTCCGGGACTATCTGCACGGTGGGCCCAGGGCCAGTTCACACCCTCAGTGCCCGGGGGCCTCCCCACCTCCCCTAAGCGGCAGTGCCCGGGCACCCACCTGAGCGGCTGTGCAGCTCCCCGCCGTGCCTGCTCACGCCCCCTACCCCACTGGAGCCACCTGAGGAATGAGGCGAGTGGTTGAAGTTTCCAGAATTGGCTGGAGAGACTGGACTTCTGGAGAGAGATGGAAATTTAACCGGCCTGACAGGAGTCTGCAAGAATAAGGCAGGTGTCATGGTGACGGTGTGTGGGAAGAGACCTGGAATTCCGAGGGCCCCCCACAGCCAACGCCCGCATCCGCCCTACACATTCTGGTCTCCTGCTAGGAGCCGCCTAAGGGATGGGAGCTCCCTTCCGGCTGCTGACAACCTGGCCGTTAGCTCAGGCTGAGCCCCGTGACGTCAGTTCCCATGGGTCACCCTGCATCCAGGGTCACACAACTCCTCCTGTGCACGGCTGGCCGGAGGAAAACTAGCCCTGACCGTTCGGAGCACCTCCAGGGGCTAGGATCTTGACCTCCCTGTAGAGATTCCACACTGCAATGGCCCAGGGAGGCAGCAGCAAGCGCAGCGGCCAGCCCCACTGTATCCCAGAGACAAAGGCGCTGAACTCCTCTCATCACTGAGAGCACAGCAGCAGGTCACGTCTGAATTCCCCGTCTTGGGTTTGCCCATTTACGGTACCCAAGGTGCAGGCAGTCCACACACGTGGAGATAACTTCCCGCCTCGAGAAGAATGCCTCAGTATGTTCCAGAGCCACCAAGGGCCACTAAGACGAAAACCACAGCGGTCCAAAAGGACAGAAGTAACATGCCTTCTGGGTTCAGGAAAACTCCAGTAGCGTACCTAGTTGCCTCCTACTGTTGCTCTTGGCCGTGGACCTGAGCAATCAGGTAGCATGGAACTTGATTAAAAACCAAGAATCTAATTTTTGGTCTCAGGCCTGCCCCACCTGGGTGATCTTCAGCAAATTACTTCCCCTCTCCGGGCCCCGGGTCCTAATCTACTAAAGGGAAGGCTGAATTAGTGCTGGCCTTCGAACTGGTCCTTGGAGCCCCAGGGTGCCGGAGAGAGGACAGAGAAGAGAGCGCTCCTGCCTTCATTCCCCTCCTGCCCACACTGTGATCTGCTTACAGATTAAGTTCCTTATTGGATTTCATTAGACAAAAGGTATCACTCATGAGACAAAAATAAAAAAGCTTTAACCCTTCTGGACCAGCGGGTCTGAGGACCTTCTGGCTGCGACACATGGTGATTGCAGTAAGCGGTGAATGACGCATCTGAGTGTCAGCCGGGTGACTTACGGTGTCTGTGCCCCCGCCACCCAGGGGGTGGCTCCTGCTGGCTCTCTGGGGCAGCACCGTCTTCATGGGGTCGGCCTTCCCATCGTGGCATGTCCGGGACCGGTCGGAGCTCCACAGCTCAAAGCTGGAGGGGGGTAGGAAAGGGGGAATGACGGCCTTCAGCTTGTCACTCGGGAGTCTGGTGAAGGGGGCTCCATTTCGAAGCTGAAAAAGACAGGCCGAGGGTTAGTCAAAGACCTTGGAGAGGCCCCAGCTCTGAGAGAAAGACTCCAGGCTTTTTCTGCTTCTCCAACAATGGCCCTCCCCACCCCTCCCCCAAGCCAGAACTCCACACGGTGCCCGCAGCTCTCCCCCCAGCAAGTAAGCAATACCCACATCTGCTCTGTGCCATCTCCCGGCTTCCCCTGCATCCATCCCCGGCAGCAAGATCAGAACAGGGCCAGGGGTATGGAGAGCCGAGGTGAAGTCAAGTGATGGCGGGGGTGCAGCGAGGGGGGCAGGGGAGCCGGAAGAGCACAGGGGAGGCTCTCCTTGCTGCAGGGGAAGAGGGCATCTTAGAGGAGGGGCACCTGAGCTGAGCCCGAGGGCCAAAGCACACCGGCTGGTGAGGATGGGGAGAAGGATACTGCAGGTGGAGGGAACAGAATGTGGAAAGGTCTGGAGAGAAGCAGGGCACACGTGCAGAACTGCAAGGGGACCCCTGTGACCACGGCCGGGCGTTTCCAGTGGAAGGGGCAGGGGGTGAGGGGCGGGAAGGCTCAGGCCAGCTCTCCGTGAGCCCAGCCAATACTCCCTCCTCCATCCCCCACACCCATCCTCCCCGCCAGCCACACCTCCCACTGCTGACATTTTTAACTGTCACTGAATTCTAAACTTTGAAAATGTGATTTGGGGTCAGTACAAAATCCACACAAATGAGGACTGGTGGACTGTCCAGGAAAAGCATTCGCACAGTCCACACTAACTTTAATTAAGAAAAGACACTGAGCTTAGCGCCAGATGGTACTTTGCAGGGAAGGGCATCCCACAGCTAAACCTGCCTTGGAGCTGGGCATCTCCGCAAGGATGGCTGCAAACGCCCACTCAGCAGGGCTCCCTGGCCAGCTTCCATCTGCCCAGGGGCAGGCGGGCACACTGCTGCCCTCTACAGGGCATGAGGAGGCAGGACAGCAGAGCTCCCAGGCAGAAAGAGGGTGGGCATCTTGGGATCCCACCATGGCTGCTCTGCGCTTTTCTGAGAGTCTGTGAACACGTGCTGCTCCCAGCAGTGGGGGCTGATACTGGAAGACGACTGAGGGCACTCGCAGCTCAAACCCACCACAGACGGGCATTTTCGCTCCTTCAGGGGAGTTTCTGAACCGTTGCACACTTTCTGGAGGGCAGTGACCTTCTTGCACTTTGACCCAGGAAGGCCTAGATATTCACCCTGAGGGAACAATCAGGCCGGTGGGGGGGCGGGGAGGGGGGGGACTGAGGCATAAGCACATTCATCGGAGCTGTTAAAAAAACAAAGCTAGAACCCCCAGAGTCTGGAGGAGATGTCACTCATTGCCACGCGGGCACATTTCCACGATGGGATGTTGTGTCACAGCCACAGACGGGCCGGGGTCAGGGAGTGCTCAGTGATGCACAGAAGATGGTCATGAAACACTGCTAATAAATCGGCTCAGCACAACACGGGGGCGATAGCAGTGCCCACCCTGCGTGGCTGTCGCAGAAGTTAAGGGAGTGAGTGTGTAAGGTGCGGCAAGCAGTGGCCGGTGCTTAGTAAGTGCTGAGTTAAGTACCGGCTATCATCACACAGAGCGCTGTGTGATAGTCATGGATGCAAGAAATGGCAGGGAAAATGCTCAGACCACAGACGTCACAAAATGTCAATCAGGAGCACACGTGTGATCAAAGGCAATTCTATTTTTCTTCTTTATATTTTACTGCACCTTCCAGAATTTCAATAACAGTCTTTCTGTCATCCTACTGACAGTTCTCATTGCTATTTAACATTATCAAGTATCAGGCGGTACGAGCTCCCAGGTCACCGTGTGAGAGACACCAATTCACACATTGAGTAAGGTGGGCTGGAGGAGGCCGATCTGTCAGGCTCCACCCCTGCTGGGCGGGGTCCTGGGACCCCGCTCAGGGCTTCTAAGGGAGCTTCTCAGCTCCCTGCTCCCTGCTCCCTTCTCCGTTCCAATACTGCCCTCTCCTGGCCAGACTCCAGACCAGGGTCTCAGAGGGAGGTGGACTTGCGTCCCACACCCACCAGGAGGCTCTCAGTTCAGAGCAGGGGCACCTGAAGCTCGGAGAGGCGAGGGAACATAGACAAGGCCCGAGGCAGACAGTGGAGCTCACAGTGAGCCAGGCACTGTGCTGAGATCTTCCCGTGGGCGACTGCATTTGAAAACCACTGCCATGAGACACAGCAGCCCAAAGCCAGGGACGACTGGTTGTCCCCTGGTATCCATCCTCCACGTCCTCCTCAGGAGACACCCCTGCTATTCAACAGGGCACCCAACCCCCTGGAGCAAAGGCTTCACTTCCCAACCCCCTGTGCAGTGTGATGTAGCCATGTGACTCAATTCTGGCCAATTCGATGTAAACAGAAATGTGTGTTTCCAGGAAAATTCTTGCAAGACACCTGGCATGTACCCATGGCCACCTCTTCTCTCCTGCTGGCTGGTAGGAGGCAGTCATGCCCAGGGGTCTGGAAGCCATCTTGGACCTGGAGGTGACCTTGAGAATAGAAGCCATGCCTAGGAGACCAGCAGGTAGAAGGAACCTGGGTCCCTAACTCCATGGAACAATGCAGCAGCCCTGAAACTTCACTCACTTGAGAGAAATGAGCTGCCATCTTATCTGTGCCACTGTTGGCTGCACACTTTTTATTACTTACAGCTGAGCTTATCCTGACTCGTCCCCAGGTGAGGACGCTGAGGCCTCTCTCTCTCCCTGCCTCTCCATAACAAAATGTCCAACGTTGCCCATCAACTGCCACCCCCTCAGTGCCCTGTCCTCAGGGCTGCCCCCCTGAGACTGTGACCAGGGCTTACGCCAGGCTACCAAGTACCGGCACAGCCTTACCCACGCTCTGGGCTGGCATCTCTTCCAGCCCCTCCATGCCAGAGCTGTACCCACTGTTACACACTTTCTACCAGATTTTATTTATTCATTTTTAGAGAAAGGAGAAGGGAAGGCAAAAGAGAGGAAGAGAAACATTGATGTGAGAAAGAACATCAACTGGTGGCTTCTTGTACACACCCCAATGGGGGGGCCAAACCTGCAACCCAGGCACGTGTCCTGACTGGGAATCGAACCGGCAACCTTGTGCTTTGTGGGCCGATGCCCAACCCACTGAGCCACACCAGTCAGGGCCCCACTGTTACATACTTTCATAGCAGCCCCATCTGTGACACCACAAAGGAAGACAAACGCCCACATCGCTCCTTGTGCATCAATAAACTAATGGTTGGTAGAGACTAAAACGCTCTCAGAAAAGTCCCACACTCACCATGGTTGTCAATAACGCGTCTTCCTTCTCTCCCCTCGCGCTCCCAGGACCTGCGGGACAAACAGGAGTTTCCTGAAGTGACCCCCACCCCACGAGTGCATGGCTGGAGGCCGAGTGACCAGGCTGGCCTTCATCCTGGTAAACCAGCTCTCCTGGGAGATTAAATATTTAATAATAATTGGTGTTCAATATTTGAACAGAGGGAAAGCACTACAAATGTATCTCAGAGCGTGTTTTCAGCTTTTCCGTAAACCGCGACCGTGCCGGGTCAGACAGCGGGGCACCCGGCTCAACGGTCTGTCTCGGCAACGGTGCCCAAGGAGCGGGTCTGGGGCGGGGGTCTGTCAGAAGGGGTATGATCCAGCCAACTCCCCTCTCAGTGGGGCAGTCTCCCCCAGCACCCAGTCAAGTCGCCTGAGCTCCTGAATACCTCCAGTGCGGGGGAGCTCACTACCCTTCCCCCGCCCCCCCGAGAAACTCGTTCTATTTCAAACCACTTGCAGTGCCAGAGACCCATCACATTTGACAGGTGGGGAAAATCGCCTATCGATGGCTTTGGGCCCCTCAGCAGGGTGTGTGTGCAGGACAGGAGCTCAGGACTCTTGCCACTAGCTTCCCCGCCCTCCCACGCTGACAGCATCTGGGTCCCTGCCCGAGTCTCTTCTCCCCCAGAGCAGCCACCCTGCTCCACTGCCACACTCCAACATCACCTCCCCTCTGCTGTCAGCCTAGGAGGGCTGACAGAGGGCAGAGGACTGGGGTCTGACCACTGGAAACGCCACGCCTGCGGCCTTCTCTTACCACTGTCTTTCACTGCGGGGGCCACGTCAGGGAGCCCAGAGCGGCTTAGCTTGTCCTGGGGGACTGCCCGCATGGTGGAGTCCAGCACAGGCTCTGGCTCATCACAGAAAGGCAGCGGCTGGTTGCTGGACAGCCCACGGGGCAGAGTCTGCATCAGCTTGAGCTTCCGAAACCGATTGGACATCCGGCTCCACCAGGACTGCCGAGGGAATGCAGAGCGGAGGTCACGCTCCGGCATGCCCTGCTCGGGGGTGGTGACTGTGCTTCCCCTCCCCTCTCGGGGGCCATGGCAGGCATCGCCGATCAGCCACACTGCACCCTTCCCCAGTAAGCCCTGGTTCTCGAAATCCTCCCTGACTCTGCTCTTAGAAGCATTTCCAATAGGCTGCAGGTGGCCGTGAACCCTAACTGCCGCCCTTCAGTCTCCTCACAGCACAGACTGAGACACGGACACCCAGACAGGGCCGACCCCAAACACCTTAATGCTTAGCACTGCATGGCTTCTCCCCCAGCCCAGTGACAGTGTGAGCGGTGGCAGGGTGTCCATACAAGGCCTGGCACCTGCCCCGCCTAGAAAGAGGACAGTTGCCACCTCTCAGGGTGTCCTCATAACCCCGGGACAGCTTGGAGATCGCCGGTGCAGCCCAAAGGAAGGCTGTGAGGGCCTGATCTACGGAGGGACATGGCAGTGAGGACAGGGACGGAGGGACCTCTGCGAGCAGCACTGTGCAGAGGCCTCACTGGGGCCTGGGGAGAGCCACCGACAGGAAAGGAACGCCAAATCCGCAGGCCTGCGGAGGTGCCGGCACCTCAGACAGGATGGGGGGAATGGACTTCCAACTTTACACAAGTAGAGCAGATGGGGGTGGTGAGAAAGCCAAAGAAAAATACTAGGCTTGCAGTTAGAAATAAGCAACCGGAGCATGTTTTGGTGTTCCCAGGAAGAAGCTGAGGGGGCCTGTGGACCACAGGGTGGTCCCAGAACAGCGCCATCAGCAGATATCCTGTACACTAAAGCAGAAGCTGCCGACAGATGGCCTGGGAGGGAGCAGAGGTGTTCGGTTTGTCCAGCTCAGTGCTACCTCGTGCAGAAATCTTAAATATTTCCTGCACTTATAAATTGAGTTTCCACACCAAAACCTGGATTTCTAGTTTCTTCTAAAAAGGAAGATCTGCTAACATGAACTCACATTCTTACAAAGCAGCCATGGAAGCCACTAAGTGGTTACAGTCACTCCACTTTTCCCCAGGCCCTGCCATTCCCTGCTGCTCAGCCCCACCTCACTTCCCGCCCCTGCCTGCCGGCACCCCCTCACCCCCACCTAAACCCGCCCTGGGCCAGCACAAAGCGGCAGGCATCCCCCAGCCCCTGGACCCGGCTCTCTGAAGCACTCTGAGACAGGAAGAGGCACACCTTAAGCCCGCCTTTGTCATCGGGCAGCACTGGGACACTCCAGGGCTGTCGGACCTTCGAGCAGGGCGGGGGTGACGGGTGGCTGGGCCGGCCCTTGTCTTTATTCACCTGCATGCAGACAGATGCCAGCAGTCGAACAAGTTCCGTGTCTATGGGCACAAAAGGCAGCGTCTTACCTGCAAAGATGTCTGCTGGGCTGCGGGGAGTGGCTCCAAGCCGAGCCCCGTCAGCCTTGGAATGCGAGGGTGCTGTCCCAGGCGCAAGTTGCCAGAAGGTGGCAAGAAGGCCAGCAGCACTGAACTAGAAAGGGGAAATAGCTCTCTTCCCACAGGAGGGCCGGGGTGTGCTGTGTTAAAACACGTGAAGGCTCTGCAGCCAGATGGCAGAGGTTCAAATTCGGCCTCTGTCCCCCTCTGGCTGTGTAACTGCAGGTTCTGAGTGATGTCTCCCAGCCTGGGGTGGCAGAGACTGGTTCTCAATGACTGGCCTTGGGCAGCAGGCCCCTCCTCTCCAGCTGGCTCAGTCATTTCCCCCGGTCTCCATCACCTCTGCTCCACACGACGATGTGAAACTCTGCTTCCCTCACACTCCAGGGGGAGGAAATGGAACCAAACACCTGATGGTGTATGGGGATTGGTGGGGAGGGTGGCAATGCTGGCGATAAGGAAGAACACTTCACCTGCTGCCCCTGTAGCTAAGACAGCAACAAGAGTAACCCTACTTGGGACTATGGAGGTCAAAGTCCTCCCCCCATGGCCAGCCCAGCACGTAGGCTCAGGGTTCAAAGCCTACGGGTCAGGAGAGCCTCTTAACCTCTCTCTCTGGGCTGGAACTCCTGGATCCTAAACAGAGAGGCCCTCCCCTAGAGCCAGCTAACTGGAAGCCCCAGGACACGGAGGAGGGCCTGTCACACTTTGGGGGTGGGGCAAGGAGAGCAGCAGAACCAGCTGGAGACCAGGAGAGGCAGGGCCAGTAACGGTAACACCTCCTGCATGGTGCCTCCAGCTACACACTGCTCCATCTCTGATTCTACGCATCATGGGGCCCTTTCGTTTCCTCCTAAATCACTCAGGATGTCTGCCCACGAAGCACAGACACCAGCCTAGGATTTGTGTGGACTGCCGAGGCAGGCACGCGCCTTGTAGGCCTCCCCTCCTCGGACTCTCAGAGTGGGGCCTCAGGGACTACCTGGCCCCAGCCCAGCCCTCTCAGGGAGGGGAGCGACTTGCCTAGGGCCATGAGGCGAGTTCCTGGGGCTGGAGACTGGCCTCCCCCAATAAGCAGGTGCTCCAAACCCAGGTGCTTATCTGATTCCCAGCCAGAGCAAGGCCACACAGGGCCACGGCCCTTCTCCTGCAACAACCCACCGGGATCACTCAGCAGCATCACCAGGTCAAAGGCTGTGTACCCGTTTTTCGCTCGAAGAGTGACATCAGCGCCCTGGTTTAGCAGATATTTGACAATCTCCTTATTCCTGGGGAGGAAAGAAAGAGCCAGGTCAGACCCACTGAAAGCGAAAGCATGGCTTTCCTCCTGACATGATATTAACTACAGCGCCCCAGCTCTGAGTGTGTGCGAAGGGAGTGGAAAGAGGCAAATCATCTCACACACCCCGCTGCCTACCCCTTGGGCGGGTCAGACTCGAATGTCACGGCAATCAAAGCCTAGGTACTCCTTCCATTAACAGAATGGACCCCGAAGGCTCTGCCCCAAAACCTCTTGCCCTCTGCCACCCAGACCAGGCCCCCCGCACCGAGTCTGAGGCTCATCAAGGCAGAAAACAAACCACTTGTAGAGGATGCAGGAAAATGCTACAATCACCTGAAAAAGAGGGCAAAGAAGGGGCCCCTAATTTGGAATCAGACCCCTAGCAACTGTGAGACTGTGTGCCGACCCCAGCCTCTCTGTCAGCCCCCCCAGAAGCAGGCCTCCCGCAGGGCAACAGGATGCCGGTGAGAGGGGACGCCCGAGCACCAGTCTGCGCCGGCATCTGTCCAAAGGAGAAGGTCAGAGCAAGTGTTGGCACCGACGTCTCTGAGAAGCCCACGGTGTGAGTGGCCTGTGTTCGTTTCCACCAGGGGCAGCTCAAGGAGGCCACTGCGCATCAATGCGAAAACGCCAAATGAACCAACCACCCCGTTCCACTGAAAGCAGCCTGCAGAAATGTATCTTTCTGCCAAAACACTTCCACTGCCTGGTTTCTCGTGGCCACTGTGATGAGGTCACAGGCAATCTGGACATAGATGGGCTCCCGCAGGAAAGAATGAGCCTGTACTTCTTTAATCTTTTTTTTTTTTTTTGCATGTCTCAACGTCTTCATGGCCCCGGGGTTTACCTGTAGGTCTCAGGACCAGAAAGCCCCACCACGAACCCTATCTCAGCCTGGGCATCCGATCAGCCCTGCGGCTGCGGGAGCTGGGCTGGCACTGACCCATGGTAGGTGGCCTGCATGAGGGCCGTCCAGCCGTGCACGCTGTCCTGCTTGTCCACTTCGGCGTGCCTCTCCACCAGCAGCTGCACCAGGGGCAGCTGCCCCATGACAGCTGCCAGCATCAGGGGGGTGGCCCCGTCTCCGTTGACCAGGTTCACGTGGTTGGGGTCTTCGTCGGCAATCTCCTTGACCAGCTGGAAGTTTCCTAGGAGCAGAAGCAGGAGCCCTGATGACCCGTGGGCCTGGCACCGCAGGCATGTGCGCCCAGTGGGCTCACTTCACAAGCACTTGCTGGGCCTGCCTCTGCGCTGGGCTATGGGGCGCCGCAGGGGCTGCGGAGGGGAGTCGGAGGCAGCCCCCACTCCACACTCCTTGGCCTGCGCAGGACAGAGGCAGCTACACAAGTATCTTTGCTAACAGAGAGAAGCTCTGGTGTCGTAAGAGTGCAGAGGAAGGAAACAGACTGAGGACGATACCCATGCAGAGGAGAGCTCGTGCCTGGCTAAGGCCTGAGAACCAGGACCAAAAACGGCTTCCTGGAGGCGGGGTCTGGATCAGAAGAGGACATTTCAGGCTGAGGAGTCCTTCATCACAAAGAGACTGAAGCGGGTAGGTGGGCAGCCAGGTATTTCACAGGCAGGGAAGAGCCAGGACCTAACCACAGGGCTTGTCTGCAGAGGTGGAGGGGCGTGGGAGGGCAGGCTGCAATCTGCTTGTAAAGCGCGGTGAGAACTACCAGGCCCCAGGGTCAGAGCCTTCCTGGGGGACACTACAGCATCAAAAAACAACAAAATGCCTGTGTTTCTCTCAAGTGCTCTGGGTGGCCTTGAAGAGGACTATCAGCATTAGATTAGGAGACTGTGGCACTGAATGCTTAGGTATTGAAAAAGATTTTCTAAAGCGCTTACCCATTTTCAGTGCGTGGAATATATCAGGTCGCCTTTTCTCCTCATCTAGGTAAACAAAGATTTTAGAAGTTATGCATGGAAAGGTTTCACATAACAGAAAAGTCAGAAGGGCGCGACAACACAGCCCAGCTTTTAAAATTACCGCCTCTTCAAAAGCAGTCTAATTGGAGGCCTGAGTAACAGCCGAACCCAGCAGCCCTTCTGGAAGGGTTATGAGCAAAGAGTGTCCGAAATGCTCCAGAGACAGACACTGGGAGGTCACTTGGCCAAAATCACAAGAATGAGCAGTGGGCTATTTCCCCATTCCACACTCACAAAGTTTTTAAGCAATCCAAACTTTGGGGTGTCCTGTTTTAGATACAATAGAAAAGCATAGTCTTGGAGACACCTGAATTCCTGTGGAAATGTTAAAAAGAGCCAATGAGCCCCAGCCAGGTGGCTCACTTGGCTGGAGCATCGTCTCATACACGAGCAGGCTTGCAGGTTTGCTCCCCGGGAGACAGCTGATTGATGTTTCCCTCTCACATCAGTGTTAATGTTGCTCTCTCCCTCTCCCGCTCTCCCTCCAGGCTCCCCCTTCCCTAAAACCAATAAAGATATCCTCTGGTGAGGATTTAAAAAAAAAGAAACAATGATTTTTTTCTCCTAAAAACAAAACGGACAACCACGAGATACTGTCGAAGCAGATGCCCTGAGAGGCTAAGCTGCTACGCCCAGAGGAAGGTGAAGGTCGTACATGTGGCCTCCAGAAGAGCCGGCTAATTTTTGCTTCCCTTCCTAACACGGAGCAGCCTGCACGTGACTCCGAGAGACATCCCCGCCCCAGACCTGCAGGCACAGCTCCCTGCGGGCGGGCGAGAGCCCACCTGATGGGCTCCCATGCTGGTCCCGGCAGCCCTGCCGCTCGGCAGGTGCTGATGTCCCATTGACGATGGCCACCTGACCTCCAGCCTGCATCGCCCCCACTCGGCCACACCCCACACCCTCCACCTTGGCTGGTGCACCCCTGCCTACCCCCAAAGCCAGGCCTTGCTGCACCCACCCAGTGCCAGCCCCTCCTTCCCTCGTCGGCTCATCCATCACCCTCCCCCAAGCCTGACCAGTGTGGACCCTGCCCCTGTCAGGAAGCAGACATTGTCAGGACCGTCCCCTCACTGGTGATAAAAGGTAGGACTTCCTGCCGCCTTTGACTAGCTCCAGGTATGGAGCGGTCAAACCCGGGGCTCTGGCCAAACCTCTGGCCCAGATCAGTGCCCCGCCCCCCAGGAAAGCTAGGAGCACTGGGCCTAGAGTCAGGGTATCGGGATGAGCGGACGTTTCCAGAGCTCTGCCTCCTCACCGCTAAAACGGGGACAACATGCGAATGTGGGCCACCGGGTGGTCGCAGGGATCAATAAAACAGACGGGAAAGGCATCAGAAATGGCTAGGTCCTACTCCAAGAGCGATTCTTGTTATCTTTGCTAGTCACCGGCGCCCACACCAGCAGGGGTACTGTTAACTCAGGGCTGTTAAAGCAAGTACAGACACAGAACCACGAGTCGGATTTCACCTGTAAAATACAATTATGGAGCAACTCTGCATCTTAGTTCTAATAAGCAGGTTATGCTCCCTTAAGTGTTTCAGCAGAGTTTGCTTTGGGCTGGCACTCTCTCAGGCTAAGACCCTCTGACAGAAAAGAGCAGTGTCACCTGCTTCAGTGCTGGTTGCTAAGCAACGGTCTGGTACAAATGAATCACTAACAGTCTAGTCTGACCCCAGGACACTGGGTCAGCTGGGCCCCTGCTGTCGAGTGAGCCTGGGCCGGTCCCTTCCTCACCCTGGGCTCCAGTTTGTGCACTGATGTCAGTGGACCTGAGGACCCAGCCCGAGAAACAACCACAGTGGGGGTGGAGAGTGTCCCAAGGACAGTCGCAGCCTCCGAGGCGACCTGCTACAGCTAATTCAAGAGGGAGACCCAGGGCCCCTAAGTCCCCCATGGGGTGAACTTCCTGGCATCTCACAAAAAGAACTGAGGTCTGTTATTTATTTAATAACCTGCCGTAATTAATAACATGGTGTGGCCCTTGCTGATGTCCCACCTGAAGACGGCCACCTGGCCTCCAGCCTGCATTGCCCCCTGCTCTGCCACACTCCGCACCCTCTACCTTGCCCCCGACAGCACTCGCTGCCTACCGTGCTATGTGACTTATTTTATTTAATAAGCTATTCCCTGTTTATTGCCAAGGTTTCCCAGGGCAGGGGCTGGATCTGATTTGCTGACTGACGGACGGGTCCCACGTACTGAGAGCAGTGCCTGATACAGTGTAGGCACTCACTAACTATTTGCAGAATAAATGGATGAAGAGTCAATAAAAACCATTATAATAGCTTCCACTTACTGAGGGCTACTAGCTACGTGCCAGGCGCTGGATGCACATTTCCCAGGCACTCTCTGACAGTGGCTCCCAGAACCTCAGAAGGTGAGTGCATTTATCAGGATGGTTTCGTGGAAGAGGGCACTGAAGCCCTGAAGGGACAGTGAACGTGCCCGAGGCCACCCGGCCACAGAGCGAAGAGCTAGTCTCAACCCGGAGTCCGCTCCACGGGGGAGTCTGTGCTCATAGCCCGACCCTGTCAAACACGACGACAGTGACAGGAGTGACGGCAGCTGCCAGTGCCTCTCAGGCACTCCCTCCGGGCCAGGGTGGCCTCACTCAGTCCTCACGGGAGTCGTGTGACGTGCCACCGCTCCTGTCCCCGTGTATGGACAACAAAACAGGAGCTTGGTGAACCCAGGCCACCCACTGTCCAGGGGCCGTCAACTGGCCCTTCCTCCAGATTTCCACCTTTCAGTCCTACACACTCATACACTGCCGCTCAGTTATTTTTTAAAGAGCGTAATTCTTTTTTTTTTCTCAATCCTTACCTGAGGATACATCTATTTCTTTTAGAGAGAGAAAAGAGAAGGGGAGAGAGAGAGAAACATCTATCGGTTGCCTCCTATATGCAACCCCGACCAGGGATCGAACCCGCAACCTTTTGGTGTACGGAACAAGGCTCCAACTAACTGAGCCACCCGGCCAGGGCTGCAGCCCATCTTCACAGCTCAAGCTGCGTGTCACTCAAGTCAGGCCCATCACAGAAAGAGGGCACTGGGGCTGGGCGTGGCATTGTGTTTCATGGTTCTACTGCACATGATGAACTAGAAGATTTGAAACACAATGTGTCATGTGGCAGATTTGCTACGGATTGTCTAGACAGCCCTTCAAATGCCAGAAAGATGGCAAAAGGAAAAGAGACAGGACACCTTACTAGGTGTTGAAGAACTTCGAAAGTGTGCTGAATTTTATGTGAACTAGTCCTTGGGGACTGATCACAGATGAGGTCGAGCACATTCTTCTAGAGCAGGGTTGGCAAACCACCGTCCAGGGGCCAGACCTGGCCTGCATTGGTAATGACGGTTTCATTGGGACAGAGCCACACCCACTCATTTACATATCACGATGGCTGCTTTCACTCTAGTAGAATTGAGCGGAAAGAATGACAAGAGACTATATGGCCCACAAGGTCTAAAATATTTATCATCTGAACCTTTACTAGAAAGAGGTTGCCAACCCTGTTCTTAAAGGATCCCAGAACCACCTGCATCAGAATCGCCTGGTTAGGGAGCAGGGACCTTGCTGTGCAGGCATCCAGGCTCTTCCCAGGGCCACCAAACCTCTCTCTGGAGGGTGGGCCAGAAAGGCTGTGTGTAACAGGCACTCCCCACTGGATTTTACACTCAACACATTCTAAGTGCCAGGCTCTGTGGGCTGCCCGCTGAGTTCTGCATGCCCTTCGGCGATCCTCAGCTTGAGCCATTTAAACACAATTTGGGGTCCTCTGTGAAGCCAAAGGGGCGGGGTGGGGGTGGGGGTGGGGGTGGGGGTAGGGGTAAGGAGAAGCGGCCTGACCTGTCTTGGGCCTGACGGTGGTCAGTGGGTCCAGGTAATCTGCAAGGTCCCTGTGCTTGCGGTCAAGTGCGACCTCGAAGGCAGTCTTCTCCAGCGCGCTGAGGTGGTCGGGGTTGGCTCCCTTCTCTACCAGCTGCTGGGCCGCGCCAAGCCTCCCAATGAGTGCCGCCAGCATCAGCGGACTCCAGCCCACGGTTCTCGCTGCGTGGTTGGGGTCGGCCCCCCACTCCAGCAGCAGACGCACCACGGCCTCATGCCCGTGCTGGATGGCCGCCATCAGGGCTGTGATGTCCAGCAGCTCATCCCTGCTGTCCCCGGCCCCCGGCTGCTCGCCTGAGGGGTTGGGATGGTCCACCAAGGCACCGGCTTCCAGGAGCAGCTTCACCACACCCAGGTGGCCACCCCGAGAAGCCACAGTGAGCACACTGGCCCCCAGCCGGTTCTGGGCATTGACATCGGCCCCGTGGTCCAAGAGCAGGTGCGCCACGCTCACGTGCCCAAACCTGCCAGGAAGATGGAGAATCGGTGACGCTAAACATGGAGCCTGATGAGGAGACGCTTATTTAATGCTCATCTGCCACTCAGTCATAGGGCTGCCTAGAATAAAAGGCCTTCTTGCGGTGCCAGGCACTTCTGGTGCCAGCCCTATGTCTGCACCACCAGGAGGTGAGCACTGCCCTGCCAGAGTCTGCACCCAGTTCTGCCACCAACTGCACGACCCTGAGAAAGAACTTCGACTTCTTTGTGCCTCTATTTCCTCATCTGTAAAATGGGGCATAATTGTATAGTCTTCAAGGGAAGGTCAAGGATTGAGTTTATATACCTAAATATATAACAAATACATAATTATTGAATCACCTGGAACAGTGCTTGGCTAAAGGAAGCACTGCATCAGTTTTAGCTATTACCACTGTGGTCACTTTACATTCCGCAACATGCCAAGTCCACCCAGCCAGTGAGGGCCGCCCAGCAGGTGAAGGCTACAGCAGGGCCAGAACTCAGTCTGTCTGAACCCTGCTGCCCTCCCTCTCCCCCCTGCACCACACTGCCTCCCACATCTTGGAAAGGTCATTTTATGCTGTTTTGTAGCCCGGCAAATCTCTCTCACTGCCCACGCTGATCTCCTCATGGGAAGGGCCCACCTATGAGTCACGTCTACCCTACCCCTCCCTAAATGCAGACACAGAGAAGGTCCTTCTAGAGGAGAGGCTCCGGACCCCATGCCAAGAGGTGTGGCGAGGCTGCGGTCAGGAGAAATAGGCTCTAGGGTCTCGCCAGAGGCCTGCTGCCACCTGCTGGTAGGAATGTCCACTGCCAGAGGCTTAGACCTGGGCCTTGGGCCAGACCCCCCTCAGGGAAGCTTGAGCCAAGGCCCTGCTGGGACAGTGGGGAGACAAGCACGTTCCCACCACCTCTGTAACACCAGGAAGAGGAAAACAGATGGCTCTGCCCAGCAAAATCCCTGCCTTCTTTTGCCGCCAGAGGGCGGAAGAGTTCTGTTTTACAGCGCTGTTGGTTGGCACACTCTCTCTGGGCGCAGAGCCGTGTGTCAGCTGGAAGAGGCCGGGACCAAGAAGGAAAGAATGACAAGGAGAGAGGGCCAGCTCTGCCAGCTCATACAAGACCACAAAGCCTGCGTAACGTCTGCCTCAGCGAGGCATCGTTCTGAATCTCCTGCTGTGCGTCCCACTTCCCAAAGGAAGGCGGGCTTGGTGGCTCCACTAAACCCAGGGCCCCCCTCCTCCCTGTGGGGGCAGAGCCGAGGCGGAGCTCTGGTCTGAACTCACAAATACCTTCTGGGACGTGAACCTTAACAGCACCAGGTCACCGCAGAGCCTACAGAGCGCTGCCCATGGAGGGAGAGCTCGGGAGCTGGCCCCTCCAGCCACTGGGGGACTGGGCCGGTCCGCCTCTCCTCCAAGAGCCGAGAGGGGGCAAGTCAGGCTGAAATACACTCGAGGGCAGAAGGCTGCAACCCCAACCTGTCTCCCCGCTTCCCGCAGTGTTCCCTCCTGCCCATCCTCCATGATATTCCCAAAACCTAAGACAATAGTCCCATACCCTAATCTGATGGCCACTGCATACTGCCCAATGGCCTGCCGACTCCGGCAACCTCATCTCCTCCCAACGCTCCCAGGGCACCCTCCAGCCACGCTCATCTGTGCTCACCGATGGCTGGGCTGGCCAGCAAGTTCATTTCATTTCCCCCCCCCCACCCACGATGGCTCTAATAGTGCTTAGCAGTCTTTAATGTCATTCAAAACAGTTTTGTTAGATTGTCTTGTGACAGCTGTCATATCAATGTGCGGTTTTTTAAAAAGTATCAAAAATGGTGAATTTTTGTATAGCCATTTTAACATTGAAAATGGAAGAAAATAGGCAACGATTTTTGGTGTATTATGCTTTATTTGTCAAGAAAGGTAAAAATGCAACTGAAGTGCAAAAAACAAAGATTGGTGCAGTGTATGAAGAAGGGGCTGTGACAGATCAAACGTGTCAAAAGTGGTTTGCAAAGTTTCTTGGTACTATTGACATTTTGGCCAAATAATTCTCTGCTGTGGGGCTGTCTTATGCACTGGAAGGTGTTTAGCAGCACCCTTGGCCTTGACCCACTAGAAGCCAATAGCGGGAGATAGCTGATGTATTCAAAATACCCAAATCAATAAAGTTATTGGTGAAAATGAACAATGTGTCTTTTACTTTATGGAAAAAACTAAATGGACGTTTTGGCCAACCCAATACTAGACTCTAAAGACAGGCCTGGGTGGCTGCCCCCCAGGGTGCGGAGCTCAGCGGAGTCTGTCACGCAAACGGGTGAGTGACTGAGTGATGCCTCATTGCGCAGGGTGGGTCTGGAGAGACAGCTGTGAGAACGACCCTGGCACGCCCTCCACTGCAGCAGGGAATTTAAAAGGTTACCCTCTGTATTTATCAAGCCTGAGATAAAATCTAGTGTAATTCCTAAAATCGGATTACAAGGTGCTATCACATTTCTATCTCATCTGATCTTAACAAACCCTGAGATAAACCCTGAGATAAATCTGTCCATTTCACAGATGAGGAAACCAAGATGAGAACGGAGAGCAAGAATCCGGAAATTTGGACGTGACAGAGTCAAAACTTGAACGTGGACCCTAAAACCCCAAACCCGCTCTTCTGGTATAACACGTGTTCACAGGGGAAGACGAGGGCTGAATTTCAGCAGAAACGCTGGCATCCCAAATGCTTTCTGGACTCGTGGGGTAGCCCAAGAGGTCATTCAGTGAGGCTGCAAATATAAAAGGACTCAATAAAGGCTGAGATAATTTTATGGATGCTGAATTTCTAATAGGTAATTACCAAAGGTAGGGAAGCTGGGGCTTTCTAAACAGATGCTATGATTACCCAATTAATTTCTGCAATTAACACCTGTGTTTAAAGACCTGGCACATGCACCCACCACTCAAAGCTCTGGGCAGAGAGTCCAGTTCTGCCACATGGGCAGGAGGAGAAATGAAGGGCATGAGAAGGAAAGAGAAGAGGCCAACCTGTTTTTTTAGCATCAGGTAAGTTGGGCGAGTAGCTTCCTACGGCCAACACTGGGAAGAGAATGGTCAGTTACAGGACTCACGGCTGGGAGCAGAGGCCGGGAACACCTGTGGGGAGGGGTGCACCTGGCCCTGCCACCAACGAGCTGTGTTGTCTTGGGCAAGTTACTTCATTTCTCTGAGCCTCAATTCCTCATCTGTGAAATGGGGAAGACAGTACCTACTTCCTAAAGGTTTATATAGATTGAATGAGTTAATTCATTGAAAGCACTTAGCACAGTTCCTAACACGATGTAAGTGCTCAATAAAGGTTATACTTTTAAAAATGGAGAAAAATGGGGAAAACGTGAACGGAACCATTTCTGACACCAAAGCGTCCACAAGACACCAAACTGCAGCCCAGGTGCAGAGCCTCCGACAGGCCGGCCTGATCTGATGATGAGCTTCGGGAGATACCGAGAGGAGAGGATAGACAGGCGCTCTCCTCCACCGAGAGTGGCGGCTGCCGGGGGCACTGTCTCCGGGCACTCTGACGGGTAGCTAGGTCCAGGGAGGAAGGGCACAGCCTGGAACACACTGGCGTATGGCCATGCGGCTGCCCGTCCTACTCCGAGAGACACACAGACGGTACATCCTTCAGAAAGTCTCCCCTACGTGTCAGTCCTCGGCACACAGTGCAGGCAGCAGAAAGCTAGAGCACAACCCAACGTGGACGGAGGCGACCCCTGAGTACAGGCGGTCCATATCACCAGCTGAGGGACAACACATTTTAAAGCACCCAGGCCCTGTCTAGGTCAATGCTAATCCTCTCACGGGACTGTCAGAGTCTCTCACAGGATAAATAAGAGGGTCTGTCGTATCTACAGCCCCCAAAGCAGCACCAGTAAGGTGAATGAAGGAACAAAAAGTGTAATTAATCCAGAGCCTCCTGATCTGCAAGTGACAAAATCAGGACACTTGTAGCACAACTTCCAGCCAACAGTGCCGCGTTGTAGAGAAGAAGGAAAGTTCTCTAAAAATGCTAAATTATCAGTTAACAGAGTTTAGATTAATTCTTCTGAGTCTCCTGCTCCATCAAGATCAATAGCAATTAATCAGATGAAATTAATCAGATGACTGCCCATCCTGCAGCACTTGGTTTACAGCAAGAACTGGTGGCCAGGGGTCTTGGAGGCACCCTGCGGTCGCAGAATGTGCTCAGCAAGGTCCCCCAGGGCTCACCAAGGGCCCCACTGCGCTGGCTGGGGGATCACAGGTGAGGCCTGTATCAGTGGCTCCCAAACCTACCATGTGAAAGAATCGCTAGGGAGCCTCTTCTCACACACAGTTCCTGTCCTTTCCCTTAACTCCCCACCAGGTCTCCTGAATCATAGTCCCCAGAAAGGGAACTCAGGGATCTAATTTGGAAAAGCTTCCCAGTAACCCTGATGTGTGGCAGGTGGCAGTGCCCCTGAGGAAGGGGACCAGCTATATGGGCTGGTGGGCACCACTGCAGGGCCCTCCTGGTGCTGAGCGACCAGACAACTGGAGGGGTATCAAGGCAGGCCTTCCAGAAGAAGCCACGCAGGGAGGAAGAAGGGGCTCCATTGAGGGCAGAAGGGTCTTCCTCTGTGTGGTATGGCAACAGGTCTGGAGTCAGATTCCCCATATCTGCTGGCTAGCTAGCTATGTGCTCGTGTGCAAATTTGTCATCTCAGCTTCTCACCTTTAAAGGAGAGATAATATTCTTGTCACAGAGTAAATGCTCAGTAAATGTTAACACCCCACCACCACCAACAACAACAACAACAACAAAACACAACACACAGAGACACAGAAAAAATCTGGATGAAATCATCTTGGCCTGATTTTAGGTTTAATTTTGGCAGTTCAGTTTAGATACTAAACCAAGCTCAGTTTAGGAAGCCGGGGGAAAGCAGGAGAGAGAGTTTGGGGAGGGGTCTGGGAGTCTCACCTCCAGATGCCGGCATGCCAAGGGCTCTCACCCGGGGGGAGGCACAGCCAAGCGTCCATTTGAGAAAGACCTGGAAGCTCTGTGGAGGAGGGACGGAGGAAGGGATGCAGGAGAAGGCCACCTCGGGGTGTGGCCTGGGCTAAAGCAGAGGGGACGGAGAGGGTGTGGACTCCAGAGAGGGTATGGCAGCAACAGATGAGCAGGCTTGGCCGCCCCACAGACGGGTACCAAGGCCTAGGACCTACCTGACACTTTAAAGCCTGGAAGAGTGGAAGGCACTGAGAGAGACAGGGGATGTGGAAGAAAGATGGACAGCCCCAAAGGCTTTATGGTTGCCTCAGACGGCTCCGGGTAAGAAATTGAGGGTCTTGAGACAAAGGGCCCCCACACGCAGGTAAGAGCAAGAAACACTGACTTGCCCGTGCGGACAGGCACACACTCCCTGACTGGGCTGTGTCTGCAAAGTGTGTTTACAGACCAACTGGGATAAATGCCCAGGGGCTGGGGAGTGGTTAAGCAAATCACAGTTCTGTGCCATGAACAGAACTCTACGCGGCAGTTGAAAACCATACATTTGAAAATAATGCGGAATACAAATTTTCCAGCAATACAAATTAATTCAAACAAGTGTGTAACACTTGGAAAATAACTCAAAGAAATATCATCGGCATTATGGCTAAGAACGTGTTTTCAATTTTCAATGCCTTTGAGAAAAAATAAATGGTTCATACATATGGACACATGCTTTACTTCACTCAATTTAACGAATGCAAATCACAGCTACACTGAGGTTGATTTTTCACCCGTCAGACACAAAAACCCAAAAGTTTGCTAACACACTGTCAGCCAGGCTGTAGAAAAACAAGCATTCACACACACCGCTGCTGGAGGGCAGACTGGTGCAGCTGCTGTGGCAGGCAGAACAACAGGCTCCCAAGGATGGCCACATTCCCATCCCCAGAACCTGTGTCAGGTTTCACAGCAAAGGAGAAACTAAGGTTGCAGATACAATTACTCATTTCTGAGGTTGCTAATCGGCTGATCTCCAGATGGGGAGCATTCTAGGTCAGGGGTGTCAAACTCATTTTCACCAGGGGCCACATCAGCCTTGCAGTTGCCCTCAAAGGGCTGAAATAATTTTAGGACTGCATAAATGTAACTACTCCTTAACTGTTAAGGAGTTGAACTTACACTTGGCCCTTTGAAGGCAACCACGAGGCTGATGTGGCCCCCAGTGAAAATGAGTTTGACACCCCTGTTCTCGAGTATCTAGGTGAGCCCAACAGAATCACCAGGGTCCTTTAAATGTGGAAGAGGGGGCAGAGGAGTCAGAGTCAGAAGCTGTGAGGACAGAAGCTGCTGACTTCAGGGAAAGCCCTTACAGCAGCCCTAGGAAACTAACGCACCTGTACAGGAAGCAATGTGGCCATCTCCATCACAACTACAACTGATCTGTGTTCCCTTCTTGGGAAGAAACTTCTGCAAGAAACTGAGGGGTGGTGGGACCTAAGCAGACAGCTGACAGGGGTCAGAGATCTCACGGTAAAATGGAGTTTCTTTATCCTGTACCAGGGTTTCAAGTCCCGTTCATCCTGCTTCCTGAGTCCATCTCATACTCATCTCTCGGCTCTCCCGCAGACGTCTTGCTCTGCTCAGGGCCAACATCACCTCTTCCTAGACCACTGAAATTTTTCCTAACTAGCCTTTATGGCTCTAGCCCACCCCTTCCATCCATCCTCACAATGCTGTGAAAGTGACTTTCCAAAACAATCTGATTCTGTCACTCACGCTGCCTAGAACCTTCCATTACTCCCCAGTGCCCCTGGGAGAATTAACTTTTCTCAGCCCTGCCATCTGGCATCTGCCACCTTCTCTCCAGCCTCCCCCAACCCCCCCCCCCCCAGCCATAACATCTTTCTAACACTCCTACCATTGCTTTATGTTCACTCTTGCTTCCAAACCTTTGCAGGAGTCTCCTATCACCCCGTTCCCACCTCCCACTTCTTCCGTCCTGGTTAATTCCTAGACATCCTCAGGTCTCCACTTGAATATACGCATCATCCTTACCAGAAACCTTCTCCCACCTCCCTAAACAGAGTCTGCTCCTTTAACTTTCTCTGTCAAGCTTGTTCCCTTGTCTGGCCTACCAACGGGCATGTGGGCTGTTCCCAGTGGGGACTTTATCTGGGTCCCGCAGCATCCCCATCACCAAGCTAGGGTGGGTAGGCAGGTTCTCAGGAAACCCTTGTTGCAAGAAGGAATAAAAAAAGAACACCGCTAAGACTGAGTTTCTAAGATTCCACTCGCAGTGTAAAGATTATGTTTTCAAAGGCCAATATTTCTAGCTTCCATTTCTCAGAGTTGAATCCCAAAGTGGCTAAAAGTTTACCATTCCAACTCTCTCGCACGAGTCCTTGACTCTTTACCTCCCGGGGCGTCTGCGGGGGTTCCGCGGGCAAGTTTGGCCCCCTGACCCCGGGGACCACTGGACACCACCCCCCGCGCCCCCGACCCCTCACCTGGCCGCCTGCATGAGCGCGCTCCAGCCGTAGTGGTTGCGGCTGTTGACCGAGGCGCCGCGGCGCAGCAGGAAACGCACCAGCGGCTCGTGGCCCCCAGCCGCGGCGAACTGCAGCGCCGTGTTGCCTGCCTCATCGGAGCAGTCCACGGGCACCGGCGCTCCGGCCGCCGCCGCCGCCGCCCCGGGCCCGGCCGCCTCGGCCCCCGCCGGCTCTGCGCCGGTCTCGGGCTCCGCGCCACGCTCCGCTGGTTCCGCCGCCCCCGGCTCCAGCAGCCGCCGCGCCGTCTCCGTGTCGCCTTGGTCACAGGCGCGCAGCAGCAGCTGGAAGGCCGGGGGCAGCCCGCCTTCGCCCATCGCGGCCCGCGGCCCGCCGCCGGCCACCCGCGCCCTTCTGCCCGGCCGGCTGCACCGGCTCCGCCCCCGGATACCGCGCGCTGGCGCCCCCTTCCGCCCGCCTGCGCGCCTACTGTGTGCGGGACTCGCGCGCGTCGGGGGCGAGGTCGCGTCTCCGCCGCCTCCGCGGGCGGACCCCGGGTTCCGGGAAGCCCTGGGCAGCGTCGGAGGCTCTGGCTCGCAGGTCCACCTTCGCCTTCTCCCCGCCGGCTCGCGGCCCTCCCCGCGGCTCCGGAGACTTCCTGCCCCGTGCGGAGGTCGGGGCGGCTGTCCAGCCTTCCTGGCGCTGCGAGCGCCGGACCGCTGGGCCCTAGTCTGAGTCGAGTGCCGCGCTGGCGTGGCCCGCGTTGCTTCCAAAACAGTTGTTGACCAAATTAGAGAACGGATGGGTCCAGTCTTTCCCCACAGAATGTCCTGCGGACCTTTATCTGGGCCAAGTCGTTAGGGCTGCAAGTGCCTTCTGTACCTTTCTCTTAATCAGTGTCTCTAGAATCAACAACATCGGGGACATATTACAAATGCAAATTTTCTGACTTCAACGCAGACCTACTGAACTAAAAGCTGAGTGTGGAACCCCTTCCCCACCGTGTTTTAACAAGTCCTCCAGGTACTTTTGACGCATGCTGAAGTCTGACACCCTGTATGATCTGGTTCTGTACACGGTAACGTCGTCATGGTGGTCCTGTCAGCCACCAGAAGGTCACCCTCTATTTACAGAGGAGGCAGCTGAGGCTTAAAGAGGTTGTACCTTGATAAAGACCTCATGACTCTCCTGTGGGAGAGCTGTGATTAGAACCCAGGTCTTCTGATATCTAGTCCAGTTCTCTTTCTATTCTCAACAAGTATTGCTCGAGTCCCTATTACATGCCAGGTACTATTCCAGGTGCTGGAAAAATTGTCAGAAATGCAATAAATTCCCCTCCTTCCTGGACCTGACAGTGGAGGGAGGCTGTAAATACACGAACAGAGCAAGTAAGGAATGGGTATGAGTGATGAGTGCTATTCAAACAATAAGTAGAACATAACAAATCCAAGTGAATAGGACAGAGGATGGGATGTTATTTTATAAAAGGGTGGGTGGAGAAAGGTCACATTTGCACAGAGATCTGAAGGAATTGTGAAGTTGAGCTTTGTTGACATTTGGGGAGAGTGCAGTCCAGGTAGAGGGAAAGAGAAAGATTCTAAGAAGAGCAGCTCCGCCTACAAATTGCTGATGCTGTCTGCTCATCATGAGAATGTTAATGTTCCAAGAGGGTGGTTAGTTTCCACAGATTGTGAGCTGTGGCCCCAAAGCCTAGCAAAAGGCCAGGCATACAGTAGGTGCTTAGAACATGACTATTGAATGACTAAGTCTCATATATGTAGAGTTATAACACAGAACAAAACTTGGTGAGGGTGTGAGGAAGGAATAAGGGTCATGGCGTTGGCAGACCAAAGATGGTAATACCCTTAGGGTCTGGGCCAGTAGGGCCGGAAGAAAAGGTCTAGGCAAAGTGTAAAGATAAGGAAAATCCTCAAAAGTACATGAGACTCAGACTGCAAAACGTTTCAGTGCCAGAATAAAGACAGTGGAATTTATTCTGTGAGCAATGGGGAGCCATGGCACGTGTTTGAGCAGGGGAGTTACAGGGATAAAGCATATCACTTAGACCCAGTGTTGGAGGTGATACCCTATCACTCATTTCCAGATTTGGATCCATTTGCCACCATAGAAGTGAAGACCACTTCCCTTTGAAGGTCTAATGAATGGGTTTACACCCTGCATGCTGTTCTGAATCTTAGAGGGGGTTTTTTTTTTTTTCATTTAACAAATGGTTTGAGCATCTTTCCATGTAAATGAATATAGATCTACTACTTCCTTTTCAATGGTTGCATGTAACACCATTAAGCAGCTGTGCCATAATTTCATCATTTTTAATGATGCACAGTTAGTTTTTTTCCAGTTTTCCCCTATTATAAAAATCCTGCATTGAACAATGTTTGTAGCAGTCAAGGTCCCAGCAGGACACAGATGACAACTTGGCTGCAGAAATGAGGGACATTTACTGAAGGACTAATTCCAGAAGCGTGGGCCAGGTTTACTAAGAGCCACAAGGGTTGGTGCCACACTCCAAGGCTCGTAACAGTAAGGAGCTATTGTCACCCCAGGCCCAAAGAGGGGAAGGGAGAGAGAAGTTACTGGAATTCTGCAAGAGAGGAAACTGGAGATCTCTCTCTGATAGGAGCTAAGACTTTGGGTAGAGGTTCATAGCCAACCCACAGCAACCCAGTTGGGGGCAATTCCCAGAGGAATAAAAACCTCTGGCCTCACCTTCCTCCTGTCCTCTGATCTCTTCCCTGTGCTCTTCGGCCAAACCCAGCTTTTAACCAGAGGTTCGGAGCCTGCAGATGAAGTCCTTGCAGTGGGCCTCCCAGGGTTCAGAGTAGGGAGGAGAGAGACTTGGCAGGCGAACACCAGCATCTTGCCGCTCAAAGTGGTATCTTCACCAGCAACACTGGTAGCACCAGGGAGCTTCTTAGAAGAACAGTATCTTGGGTTGGCCCCAGACCTACTGAACCAGAACCTGCATTTCAACACGATCCCAGGATCATTCAGGCGCACAGAGTTTAAAGCATGAATCCAGCACATCTTTGTACATAACTTCTTTGTGAACTTTCAGTCTTTTCTTTTTAAACATATTATTTATTTATTTTTAGAGAGAGGGGAAGGAAGGGAGAAAGCAAGGGAGAGAAACATCAATGTGTGGTTGCTTCTTGCACACCCCCTGCTGGGGACCCAGGCATGTGCCCTGACTGGGAATCAAACTGGCCACCCTTTGGTTTGCAGGACAGCCCTTAATCCACTGAGCCATCCCAGCCAGGGCTATATTTCAGTCTTTTTTTTTTTTAATTGATTATTGTGTTGGTCTGGATCCTCTGAGAATTGAAAAAAGTGGTATTTTTTCTGGGAGAAATGCTTGTGTAGGATTAAGCAGGGGAGGAGGAAAAAGGAAGGAGAGCCTTCAGACTACGATGCAGGTCTGACCACTGGGAAAGGAGAATGGGAAGGGAGGAGGGGAGGAGGCTTGGGTAGAAAGAACTTTAGACTGCCATGCAGTTCTGCCGTGCAGCCATGCCAAACAGGGTGACACCAAGCAGAGGGAGCCTGCTGAGCCGTACTGCATCCGGCAGGAATGGCTGGGTCCTGGTATCCCCACCATGCTCAGTCACCAACTGGGAGAAGCCAGGAGAAGCAGGGCCTCTCCAGGGAGGATCTGAAGACATAGACGCTGGAGCCTCAGTTAGCCGTACTCCCCATCAGGTTCTCTTGAATGGCAATCTGAGCAATGCGCCTCCATTGCCGACACAATCCCCATTCAACCAGCATTTATTGTCTTCTCAGGGTCAGGCATTACATGTGTTGGATGATAGGGTCACAGCCCCCTGGTTGCTAGGGAATCACACACAGTTGCAGAACAGGGTGGTCTGTGTACTTTCATTGTTAATGAATTCAAAAGCATGTCCACAGTTTGGTGGGGGGTGGTATCGCTCATGGCTTCATGGGAGAGCTTGGCCACAGGCTGGGCCCAGAGACTGGATGGGGTCTGGGTAGTTACAGGAAAAGAGAGGAAACAGATTAGGAAGTGAGAGCAGGGGGACAGAGAGATCAGAGGCTGGTGCAGTGGATTAGAAGGCAGGTAAGGAGGGCTGGTCAGAAAGTAAAATAATCTATTTATATGTAATTGTCTAACCTTTTTTTCCTAATAAGATAATCATGCCTGTTGTAAAGAATCCAGTATTGTGAAAATACACAATGCTAGCTCCTTGAGATCAGTGGCTTTGGGTGTCTACCCCCCATGGTGTCCACCACCATGTCCCTGGAGTCTAGCACACTGCCTGCCAAGTGGTAGGTGACCAATAAGTACTGGTTGAAAAAGTGAACAAACTGAATGAAAATGAAAAGGCCACCAAATCTCACTTGTCAGAAATTCGTATTAAACAGTTGATGGTTTGGTGAATATTCCTGTAGAGCTTTTCCTTTTATGTATGTTAAATATGTTTTACTAAAATAGAATCATACTATCCATATAGCTCTACAATTTGCTTTTCTTAACAATGCACCTTAAGCACACTTGTGTGTTAAGCACCTATAGTTAGTGTGATCTTGTTAATAACACTGTGGTATATTAGTGTATGCATGTACAATACTTTATGTTATAATCTATTAATGGACAGTTGGGTTGTTTCCAACATTTTGCTTTTTAAAAACAATCCTCAGTAAGCTTCCTGTGTGTTCATCTTTTGAACACTTGTCAACCTATTTCTGTTGGGTAAATTCTTACATATGGGATTGCAGGATCAAAAGGATGTGAGTATTAACATTTCTAATAAATGTTACCTGATTGCTTTCCAAAAGGTTATACCAGTTTGCATTCCTTCCAACAGTGTAAGAGAGTGTGTTTGTTCACACCCTTGCTGACACTGGAGTTAACAATCTTTTTCATCTTTGCCAATCTGATAGGTAGAACAATGTTTCGGGGAAAGTTTAATTTGCATGCATTTTAAACAGAGATTGTATTATCTCTTTTGTGGGGGGTGGCTCTCTATTCAAATCCTCTGGCCATCTTTATTTCTGTTTGTTCTTTTTATTTCTCTGTTAATTCACATACTGGGTAAATGCCATCTGAAAATATCTCTTTCTAATCTGTCTTTTGTTTCTGAGTTTACCTTATTTTGGGTCTTATAAAATTTTTAAAAAATGTATAGTAGTCAACTTTATATAAATATTTTCCATAATGGCCTTTGGGGTTTTTTTATCTAGTACTTTAATTGTTGGGTTTTTTTTTTACTTTGATATGTTTTGACCATTTAGAATTTATTTTGGTGAGAGGTTGGGATTTAACTTTATTTTTTCCAAATGGTTATCAAAGTACCCCACTCACTCACTGAATCATCCATCTTTTCCCCACTAATGTTTGAAACACCACGTCTAAAAGAGATGTAATGACCCCCAGGAAGGGAGGTAATACAGCAAATCAAAAGTGCCCTCCAGAGAAATCTAGTTGTTCATCAAGATGAGATGGGATGATGTGGTCGCAGAGCAAATACGCCACCCCATCAAACTAATAACAAACCCATGGAAAGGGCAAGGCACTCGATTTGAGGAGAGGTGTAAAAAGAATGAAGGATCCGGTTAGATTTGCCCTTGGTGGA